AGAGAGAGAGTGAAAGAGAGAGAGTGAGAGACAGAGAGTGAGAGACAAAGAGAGACAGAGACAGCGACAGAGAGAGGGGGACACAGAGAGAGAGAGAGAGAGAGAGAGAGAGAGGAGAGAGAGAGAGAGAGAGAGTGTGTGTGTGTGTGTGTGTGTGTGTGTGTGAGAGAGAGAGAGAGAGACAGAGACAGAGACAGAGACAGAGACAGAGAGAGGGGGGCAGAGAGAGAGAGAGAGAAAGAAAGAAGAAAGAGATTAGTCTGTAAGCTTGTCCCAATATATTGGGCATAATAGAGTTTCGTTGCCTTTCATTCCAAACCTGATAACCATCGTTTTTTGATTGTCCAGTGGATGAGTCCAAGGCGCATTACCTGAGGCCTGACAGCTACCAGGTCACGTGGTGGCCAGGGGACAGACCTCAGGAGGAGATTCAGAGTGACAGCACTACAGGTGTGTGTCTTGTTGTGTTCATATATTTATTCTCAGATATTATTCACCGTAATATTGTATGTGTAGGCCTATGTGCAGGCCTGCAGTGTGTGAGTGGATGAGTGTTTGTTAAGTTAAATGTGTATGTCTTGCTGTGTTCATGATATTATTGTATTTTGTTCTTGGTGTATGTGTGGGAGAGGATGAGTGTTTGTTTGTATGTATATGAGACAGTGGAGAAAATACTGTGTGCGTGCATGTGTGTATTTGTATTATGTGTTTGTGTGTGTATGTGTGAGTATGTGTGTGTGTGTATATTTGTGTATATGTTTGCTCAGTCCTGTACTAAGACTAAGAGAATCAATTTGAAGCCATATACTGTTTCCTAGACTTATATGACTGGAATCGTCCGTCTGTCACTCTTTCCCTGCACTAAGTGAGTGTTGTTGTGTTGATGTACCTCTCTTTATTCAGAAGAAGAAGAATGTTATCCTTAAAATCTATGTGTGGAGCTAGAGAAGGCCTAGGCAAGTGTGTCGGAGTTATTGGCCCGATTAAGCAATTCTGAATATCTTATGGGTCGAAGCAGGAGAATGCTGGGTGACATCGTTGAAATACCCAAATTCTCAAAAATGAGACTAAAACTGACATGATAGCCTATATCACTCAAGAGCATTTCATGTGAAATAAAATTACATTTATTGCTTCTTGCTTGGCCCAAAACTATTGATTTTTATTTTCAAGACAGACATTTTTTTTTTCAAATTTATTATCTACTCACCACTGACTGCATTTATTATTAATTACTAGGCTGACCCATAGACCAGAGTGAAACTGCTCATAGGCTGGATCTGGCGTGTACATGTAATTTGCCCATTCCAGAGCTAGAGGAACAGTTCTGTATCTTTGTTAAACTTGCATTGCCTCTTCCTTTCCAGAGGACCACTTGCTGATCACTGGCCTGAGGCCGTCCATTTCGTACACTATTGTTGTTGAGGCTCGCAAGATGGAGAAGTACACAGACATGGATGAAGGAGCTTGTAAGTTCACCTTGAAACAGTTGTGCAGTTGTTTTTTCTCTTCATTGAATGACAGGTTACCTTTAAGCATACCTTTATAATTATACAGTATGTTTTTTCCTTTTCTCCACTTTGAATTTCTTTATTGAATAACATTTGTTTACAACAAGCATGACTTTACATAGTCAAATGTACAAAATCGTTCGTGCCTCCTAGCTGTAGACATGCACATGTACGTGTGAGTGAAAGGTTTATCACATGGGTAAGCGTTTCGATCAGTTTTGTTTGTCTTACTCGCTATGTGAATGCAAAAATATTTGTTTTGTGAGGTAATTTTTCCTACCTCCTGTGTATGTATTCCTTTGAATTTTTATTTTATATCTCATGACCCATGGCATGAACAAGACTTCTTCATTTATATAATAACCTGTTGTGCATTAAAATAATCTTGCATGTGGTTAAAAGCTGTCACTGGAAGTTCCTACTTCTTTTCTCTCCCACTGTGGATTCTGTCTATCTTTCTTGATCTTGCATATTCTTCGAATAAAACGACCATTATTGTGTTGATTTGCTTCTCTTTAATGAAACTCTTGGTCTTGAGGATTTAAATGAAACAATATGATCATTCATGCGAAATAAAACATAACAATAAAACTGCTGTAACCTCGTCTCATTTAGCATCTGCGAGGGAAACCCCAGACGGCCTCAACGCTTTCATCCTGTCCTCCAAGTCAGAGCAGCTGCTGGTGAAGACAGCCAGCCCACCAGAACCTCCCACCAATGTTGGCGTGGTGGCCATGACCTGTCACAGCCTGAAGGTCGGCTGGGATCCCCCCAGAGAACACGGCTCAGAGATTATAGGTAACAAATAAGTGGCTCTGGCTTGAGAGATGGGTTTTTTTTCATTTGATTTTCGATTATCAGCAGCAGTTATTTTATTAGTTTATGAAAATTTTCTTTTTAACTTTGTAATATATATATATATATATTTTATTCGATCAAATTCTATGTCGTCTATTGGTTTTTGAGTCTCTGAGCTCAATTCCTTTACTCTAGAAAGGAATTATAAAATTTCTTTTTAAAGGTTGAATGAAGTTATATTTTAAAACATTAGTCATTATGGATTTTTAAAAATACTGTTTGAAGAAGTTGATGGAAATAAATAATTGGTGAAGCATTACATTTTTTAACATTTATGTCATAGTTTCAGCTAGCATTTTTACAACTTTTCTACTTCTATCCTTAAGATATAGTTGAAACCACTTTCCTTGTTGGTGACGTAGAGTGCTTGTAGAAATCCACATTTATATTTGGAATGTTCAAGGTTAGTAGCAGATCTTCTTTCTTTTTTGTCTTTCAGCTGATTACATTCCATGGTCAGTCAGATCACAGATACATGGGCACACCTGTTTTCTAGTCAATTAAATAAACAATCGATGAAATGAGATAGATTCAAATCAGTCATATTTCTTTCTTACTTATCTGTAATAGTAGTCTTTCTTTTTCTTTTCTTCCAGATTTATAGACTGATGTACTTCTTTTTAACTAAAACTATTAGTGGATGAATGGTGGGAGCCACTGATAGATTCTGCTCCTTCCCCTTTGCTCTGTTGTTTCTATCTGCCTATCTAACTTTTTCCTCTGCACTTCACGACTGATGTCATGTTGATATGTTTCTTTATACGCCTACTGAACCCGAACTAAAACAAAATCAGTTCAATGACGAGCTCAAGTCAAACTTTTCTCTTCCTCAGCCATCCGTGTAGAGTGCATCTCTCTAGACCCTCAGAACTCCCACCACATTGCAGTGGACACACTTCCAGATGCTACAATTGCAGATGTCAATGGCTTACATGAGAAGACAGATTATCTCCTCAAAGTTATTGCAGTGACAGAGGAGTACTTTGACCGACTGCCTGAGAAACATCGGCACAAACGCCTGCGAGGTTTCCCGCAGGATGTGATGGCTTCACAGGAGGAATCCCCATGGCTGCCACACTCTAGCATCCTTATCAAAACATCGGGCACGGAATCCCCAACAAACATCCGAGTCATGAAGGCCACCACAACCTCCTTGACCCTGACCTGGACACCCCCTCTGGTGCATGGCTCCAACAAGCTGACCGGTCAGATCGTGCGATGGTCGGATGTGAAGAAATCTCGGCGTGCAGACCATGAAGACCTGCAAATTGCAAGCCATGTAAACCTTCTGCCTACTGAAGACACACTGACCATTGAGGACCTGGTGCCTGGTGCCCAGTACAAAGTGGTCATTGAGGCTGTGGTCAGTGTGAAGACGTCCTTGGACCTTGACAAGTGGGATGGTAACAACATCGAAAAGTTCCGACGCACGGCTCACGTTATGTCAAAACCGTTCTTTACAAGAACGCGTGCTCCCATTGAACCACCCAAAGTTCAGGTGACCTCGTACACTCAGATGAGTGCAACACTGTACTGGGAGAAGCCACCGCTCATGTCTGTGGTGGGCAAGGATGAAGAAGACAACCCAAAGTATCTTCGCAGGTAACTCAGGCGGGTGGTTGAAGGGTGTTCACTTACAGGTCTTACTTCTGTTTCCTTCCTTTTTAACTAATCTCCAGCAAGCTACTCTCAGTGGCTCACGATCAGAACTGCTGTACCGGTGAGCCGCCTTGAGCGGCTTGGTCACATTCCTTTAAGACAACATCAATGTTATATTATTAGTTTCTAGCAATTGCCAAAAACAGGTCTCTTTAACAGTTCTTTCATTAGATATTAATATTAAAATAGAGTAATATGTGTGACTTCCAGGTTTCATAACAAAAGAGGGCCCGGCATAGTGGGAAAACCTCCTCCAGAGATGAAGAGTTAAAGATAACTGGGATCTTTTCTTTGTTTTTAGGGGGGGGGGGGGTTGTTGTTTTTTTAAACAGGCAAATGGAGATGATGTGGACTGGCTACCTCAGCTTACTTCTCTTGGTTTTATTTATATATACAAGCAAAGAATGGAATTTACAAAAAAAGAAAAGATTGAATTGGGGATAATACAAAGGGTCCAAGAACAAAAACTAGATATTGGAACATGTGATTTCCCTTAAGTTTCATATCTCCACTGAAGTTTGCTCTTACTTAGTTCTTTTTTCCTCTTTCCACACATGGCTTCTACCTATCTGTCTCTAGATACTTGCAATCTTTTCCTCTTTTCACATATATGTGAGGCAACGTGGTGAAATCAGGCGCTCGTCAAAATACTGAAAGTCAAGAAATTGGCATTTTTACGCAGGTTTGGGAATCTTTATCGAAATTTTGTTTTTTTGACTCAACACCTTTCATGCCCTTCTAGGAACACATTTCTATGTGAAATTTACTGAAAAACATTGATTAAAGGCATTAAAGCTGTCAATTTTCACTTTCTGCGGACTCTCAAGCTAAGGAAAAAACTTAGCTTTGTCGGCCATTTTCTCGCTAATTTTACCTCTGAATCCAGGTGAGCTCCACCTCCTTCAATCGCAAATATCTTGAATTATATCCAAGATAAATTGATACTGTTTTCATCAAAACCAAGGCAAATGGACAGGCTTTAAGGTTATACTAATAACTCCATATGCCCTAAAATTGATGAGGCCCTGATTCTGCCGCATAATAACACATATAGCTTCTACCTATCTGTCTAGATATCTGCAGTCTTTTCCTCTTTTCACACATGGCTTCTACCTCTCTGTCTCTAGATATCTGCAAGGCTACAAACTGGAGATCAACGGCAAACTTCAATGCTGCTTGGGGCCAGACTCGAACTCCTGCACACTGACCAAGTGCAAGCCTGGCCGTACTTACAATGTTGTGCTGGTGGCCATGACATGCACTGACGAGGGAAAAAAAGCTCGCAAACAGAAGGTGAGAACAGAACTTTGGTATTTTTCTATATTGTGTTCAGTAATGAACAGAAGTTACACTTAGATCTGAACTCACAGAGCCTTTATAGCAAGAGCAGTTTTGGATTTATTTCTAAAATGAACATTTATTTTGTTGTCTCAAATTATTCAATGTATGAAATATTTTTTGGGAGAGGGGCTGAGGGAGTATTTTTAGATCCTATAAATTGGGGATTTCCTTTCAAATTGCCTTTGTTACCCAAAACCAAGGAAATGCTGAACATCAAACAACTTTGTTTTGAGCTTTCAGAAAGCTATATATAGATTTACTTTACTTTGACTTTTCCGTTCCAGAGGCCATCTGAGTTCTAGCCCTTCGGCCTGTCGATATGGCAAAGAATTTACAAGCTTTTTTCGGCTGTGTTTTGTCACTGTATAGAGTATTTCTGACATCTGGGGAGACAGGTAGGAAGGTGCTACATAGATTGCTAAGTGCAAGGCAGCTAAAGAGGTGATGTGATACTGTTTCATCCTGGCAGTCCTGGCAGTCACACAATGGGCAGGCAGGTGGGGTATCCTTGCTGATCCTGTTTAGGAAGGAATTCCGTGAGATGTGTTGTGTTCTCTGGCTAAAGATAGTGACTTGTTCTCATTTACTCAGGGAATTTGTGCATCTTTTGAGTTGGGAACAGTCATGTGTGCAAATACAATGCATATACCATTTCACAATTTCTTTTTTTTTTTTTTCAGTACAAGAGCTACTTCAAAAGCATGGAGACCAAAGAGGTGGACTACATGGCTCTTCTGCAGGATGATGACAACCTGGATGAGTCACCTTCTGAGCCACTGGAAGTCATTCTGCCCAAGGACCAGGAAGGTTTGTTTCCTTTAAGTAGCGGTTGTATCTTTAAAGTGATAAACTTTTAATGCCTTAGAGCAGTGGTTTGTTTTATTTAAGGATCTGTTGTGTCATGTTTGTTTTAATAAGGTTTTACAGCGCTCACAACTGCATAAGATCATATGAGCTCCAAGAGGTGGAAGTCAACAGAGAAGTCCAAATGGGAAACAGGCTTACTTTGCTCACCTCTCTAGCCTCAACAGCACAAAGTCTACTTCGATTATCAAGGCACCCTGGAAATAGCAGTTCACAAGATAGTGACAAACATACAAAAAAGTAGAGGGAAAATGATGATAATAAGGATGAGGAAAGAAAAAGCAGCAGCTCCCCCTATGTTGGTCCGGCACAGTATGAGCATGACATTGATAAATCAGCGCATTTACAATTCTACAGTGCATAAGAGCATATTAATATCCCCCCTTTGGGAATGACCTAAAGACACTTCAGTCAGCTTCACTGCCGTTGGGAAAGGGGGGGGGGGGTGTTGTTACGTCTTAAAATGATAAACTTTTTAATTCCTAGTGCTGTGGTTCTTAACCTGGGTTTGATCAAACCCAAGGGGTTCAGTGGGTCAGTTTATTCAGTTTGGCAGACGTCTAGATGCACTCAGTATGTATGTGTGTGTGTGTGTGTGTGTGTGTGTGTGTGTGTGTGTTTGTGTGTGTATGTGAGTGTGTGCCTATGTGCATGCATGTGTGCGTGTGTGTATATGTGTATGTGTGTGGACGCATGTGTGTCTATATATATGTGTGTGTATGTGTGTGTGTGCATGTGTATGTGTGCATACTTGCATGTGTGCAGGTGTGCATATGTGCATGTGTGCGAGTGCATGTGTGTATATATGCATGTGTGTGTATGTGTGAGTGTTTGTGCATGTAAGTGTGTGTATGTGTGTGTGTTTGTGTGCATGTGTCTCCTTTCCGGTCACCCCACTCAAAAGGTTTGATGAATGCACTTATAACTCTTAGGGGGTCCAGTACCTGCTACAAGATTAAGTACCAGCGCTCTACAGCTTTGCCTTCAAATTGGGATGATATAAGGCATTCCTCCCTGTGGTCGTCCATTTTTGGACAATATGAATTTAGTCCGTGCCACCTGAAAACCCACTTCAGTCTGATCTACCAACCCTATGAACCCGATGAAGAAAGAAAGAATCTGTTATTTTTTCACAAAGCTATTTTACCTCTGTGCTACTCTGCTCAACAGCATTTTTACTAGTTATGTATCAGTGAAAAGCTAAAGTATTTTTTAGGAAGACAGTATTAAAAATTTTTCTAAGAAAATTTCCACTTTGCTTTAAGAACATTTGAACTGAATTGTCTCTCAGTGTCTTTCTAAACATAATTGTCAATATTACAGGAGCCATTCATCTGTTCAATTTTTCCTTTTTATATCTGGTTTGATTTATTTTGAAGTTATTGCTTTTCCAGACACAAGGGGTACAAAGATAACTGCAGTGATGAGAAAGACATACTATTAGTGAACAAGACTGGAAAAGCAATTCTCTTTCTTACATGTTTTTTTCAGCAATTGATAACACAAAGTAATATTTTTCGTCTTTGACTTCTACAGGTTTCCTGAAGACTTTAGAGGCTAAGTTCCTTCCACAAATGGAGCGTGACAACAAAACGTTTGGAGACATTGAGCTGGCATGGACGGTACAGGGCAAAACGAATCTCCTGAAACAGTTCAACATCATCTGGTACAGCATTGATGACAGAGTCATCCAGACCAAATACGTCGGCCCAGAGCAGCGCAGATGTACAATCCCTGTCACGCGAATCAAGTCAGTTCTGAGTCTTTGATATTTATTTAGCATTTACAGCTTTAAAAAGATAGGCTCTAACTACAAGCATGTATTATCCACCAAAGTTGTTAGAAAAGAATGAAGATGTGATATATTATGAAGGTACTGTTGCATTTCAGGCTAGTAGAAATTTATGAGGAAAACATGGAAAAAAGAACCCATAATCCAGCATCAAGGCAATTGACCTGCCAACTTCTAAGAGTTAAGTGCGGTCAATTTTAATTGAGCTAAAAAAAACATACTTTTTTCTTCTAGAACCGTGTACCACATGAAGGTGGAGCCTGGTTACTACACTGACGTGTTACCGCAGCCCTCGCAGGAAGTTCAGGTGATGATCCCAGGACCTCCTGATGCACCAGAGATCTTCCTACGCTCCCTGGATGTGGACGAGTTCTGTATTGAATGGGGAGAGCCGCGTCTGTTTGGTGGAGTCAAGATCAAGGGATATCAGGTAAGAAACAGGGAGAAAAACATTGTTAATTTTTTATTCATAATAATTTTGTACTTACATGATATAACTGGTAGGAAGAAATCAGTTTATAAGTATGATTCATCTCATTAAACACTTGAACAGTATTTTTATACTCGGTCATAATTCTTGTCAGGGTCTTGTTGCTCACTTTTAGGTTTTACTATTTTGTGTCTTTACTGGAATTATTTATTTTCAAAGATGTAGTAATGTTTTTTTACAATCCACAGTACACACATTTTTTTCTTGGAAAATAAACTATTTTCCTTTCTTTTTTTTATGGATATGTTAAGAGCTGATTGTCATTATTTTTTTTTTAAATATTAATGTTGGATGAAATATTTTTCTCAGTCATCTTTGACGTGTATGTCTAGTGCTAGCTTAAATTGTACTTGTACAAATTAGAAGGATATACCACAGGCTAGTCTCTATAGTGGTGGCAAGTTTTCATTATGTTGACTGTTTGAGCAGTAATATCATCTATCGGTATGTGAATGGAAGTTTCTTTTTGTGTCACAGGTTTTCCTCAATGACAAAAAGGCCGGGAATGAACTCAATGCTAACCATAACAAGGCGACCATTCCATGCAGACCTAACAGGTGAATTCCCTCCCTAAAATAGTTTTTACAGTAGCAGCGTTTGTATTGAATAAATGGAATAGTCTCTAGTATGTTTCCGTAGAATGTGATGCTGGCCTAATCGTTCATGGTGCAAGTTTGATCATTTACAGAAAGATCACAATTTGTTGTCAAAAGATGAAAAAAACAAGATTTCTTTACCCTCCTAGTGTTGACGGCTGGTAGTTTCATTCTGTGATGTTACAGCTGATTGAATTGGCTGTAATCTGTGTCACTACTTCTATTTGTTCATCCTTGTTTTTTTATATCGCTTAACATTTTAACTCCTCTTAAGATGTACTTTCTGAAGGTATATGGACTTTACTCTCTAGATTTGCATGTTCTTAAGCATTTTCCAACATAATGTAGTGAAATCATATAACTTCCCTTGACACCACAGGCTATTTGTTAGCAACACTTTGAGGATCAAATACAAATTAATGTGTGAATTGCAGAAGTGATATGAGTTTTCCTAACTTGCTGTGCGGGTGGTTGGAAGGTGCCACTGGTAGGTCCTACTTCTTTACTTTTCCTCTGTTGTTTCTGTCTGTTTGTCTTACTTTTTTCAGTAATAAATTACCATTATTTTGTTGATGTACTTCTCGCTACTCAAACAAACAAACAAACTAACTTGTTAATGTTACTGTGTAGGACCTATCGTGTGAATGTGGTGGCACTGAGTGACAAACCCGACTACGGAGACTCAGCCCGGTCAAACACGCTGGTGGTCAACCCGTCAGGACAGGGGGACACCACCCCGCACCAGGACGACTGGGTGGTGGATGACGCAGGCATCCCGGTCAAAGTGTCTAAAGTGACAGAGAACGGCATCCATCTGGACTGGAGTCGTTTCGTGGAAACGGATGACGTATCCTTCTATAAGATTCAGTGGAGCAGCGTGGCACAGCCAGAGGTTTGTGGGATATTACTATCTCTTACTTAAATGTCTAGGGGACGTTTCTTTCGACTTCTGTATAGAGTTTAGATTTTCAGTTTGGGTATTTAGTACTTTTTAGTTTATGGCAAAAAACGATCTTCCAACAGACATTTATTTATTTTCCTGATGAAACAAAGCTTGTGCGTATTTGTAATGATATTATCTTTGCAACACTTTATCAGAAACTTAATGGCAATACAAAAAGTGAAAATTCAAGAAAACAATTTCACACTTTTGTAGCTTGAAGTAAAAAAAAAAAAGAAATATCTTAACTCTTTATCTCCTGCGAGCTGCTTCCAGCTGCTCGCTGCTGGGCACATTCCTTTACAACGACTTCTACGTCAAATTTACTTTTCCACAATTTCCAAAAACAGGTCTCTTTTATCAGGAGTTCATTCATTAGATGAAGAACAATCAAAATAGGTTGACTTGTTTTGATTTAATGACCCATTTAGTGATGTTTTTGTTGTTTTTAGATTTAGTTTTTAAAAAAGGGCCCTGGCGTAGTGGGTTTACCCCCCATGGAGATAAAGAGTTAATGGGGCTTCCCTGTGTCTATTATAAGTAGCTTACCATCAATTTTGCAGCAAAGAGAAGTGCGTCTGTCAGAGAAAGACTCCAACTGTGTGATCAACAAGTGCCTACCTGGAACCACTCACTTTGTGAGGATTGTGGCCTTCAACGCTAATGGACAAATCTTGGAGAAATCCAAACAGCTGACAGTTCAGACGTCTGCTCCCCCCGATGCACCAAAATTGTCTGTCAGGTAGGCCCTGAAGCTGTTGTGTCTTGATATTTTTGTCTTATTGTGTCACACACTTAACCAACGTGAAAAGTTTGAGATTCACAATAGGGTAGGGTGAAACTTTTATCTTCTTGAAATATTGTTTCCCTGTGTCTCCAGAGTCCTAAAGATGGGTCAAGTACAAAATTTTTGAAGTAATCAACACTGTATCTCATAGAGCTTTAAATCTTCATCAAAAGTGGGGGTTTTAAATAATTTTTTTGTTAATTATTCAGTTTCAAAAGATTTTGACATTTTACTGTTAAAGTTTGGGAAATATGGAAAGTTAACAGAAGTAATAGTGCTGATAGATACTACCCTGGCAAAGGTAGAATTATTTGAAAAGCCTGTAAGGTATGGTTAGCAACAGTAACAATGCTGTTTTGTCTGAGTTGGGGGGGGGGGGGAGTTGTGTTGGATTTTTTGTTTGTATGTGTAAAAGACATAGTACTCAGATAATTTGATTGTCTGCATTTTTTAGAGGATAACCTTTTAACCTATTGCTATGGTATAGTAAAAGCTGATAGAGTATAAGTGTTGGAGCACTCAAAATGAGTGGGTTTTTTATGTGTGATGGTTATAGTTTGAACTGAGATGCAGATCACAGATTACAAAGACTTCCACATTCTTCACCATGCCATTCAACCAAATGGTAGAACACCTAGGGCTGCATTATTTATGGCAACAATATTGGAAGCTGAATTGAATTATAATTTATGGCAATTTCAGTGCTATATTTACCTCTTTTCAGCACAAAGATAATTCTAGTGCTTTCTCTGTTCAGCTTAAGACACATCAATTTTCCTTTATATGCAACCTATGATATGTCCTCATTACAGAGCATGCAACTTCCGCTACGTGGCTATTCAGTGGGACAAACCAACCACGTACGGAGATGCTTTGGTTACTGGGTACAAGGTGTACGTGAATGGCATTGTGGAGGCTGTGCTCAATGCGGACCAGCTCAACTACACATACACCCAGGGCAAGTGGTGTCACGAGTATGCCTTCCAAGTGCAGGTAGGTCTAGTTGTCTCTGTTTATCATAATGTAACACTGATTGTAATTTCTGTGGTCTGCCAAAGGAGATGTTTTGAATTTTCATATAATTTGGTGGTCACTATACAAGCACAAGTAAAAATAATTGCACTCAAACTTTGCTGCTGTGAACTGTGTGATGAAGATGTTGTCGAGGTGGATGACATGAGTAATGTTTATATTTTAATGAGAATGAATTCAGCTGAAAAAAAAAGTTTAATCAAAGTATTTTTTCATGTCTATTTTTTATCTCAGCATTTCTATTCTTTTCTTGTTATTGACATGCGAGGTAAATTAAAGTAATTTCTTATTTGGTGTCAGTATTTAGTTTAAATAAAAATTGTAGAAAGGTTTGTTCTCCCCTTGTATGCGAACATCTATTTTTGTTGTGATGGGATACCTAAACATCAAAGCCTTGGAGAGCCTGACTTCATTTCACATGGCTCAACAATGGTTTTTGTTTTATTTTTCCAGGCCCTGACCCCAGGGGATCTCCTGAACAGCAAACCCTCGGAACCACTTGTGGTGACATGGCCTGGCTCTAAAGCCCCGGCTATCAAACGCCTGCCCTCAGTGAGTAGCTCAACACTACGCGTGGGCTGGGACGAGCCGTACCTCACAGAAGGACTCAAAGTCAAACATTATAAGGTAAGAGAAGACAGACTTTTGTGCATTCAATTGTTGTTTATCTATAATGCCATTTCATGGTGAAATTCTGTTTGAAATCTGCCAGCTGAACAACAATCTATTGCTTCATTAAAATTGGAACATAAATTTCATCCCCCCCCCCCCCCGAGCAAAATTTATCACATTATTTTGAGGGGTTTTTTTCTATATTTTCCAAGAAAAGCCCCAAACATTATTCGAGTTCTTTTCTGTCGTTTTATTTTTTTTTAATCTTATTTGTTGTATTTTACTCAGGTTTCTTCTCTCTCTCTCTCTCTCTCTCTCTCTCTCTCTCTCTCTCTCTCTCTCTCTCTCTCTCTCTGTCTGTCTGTCTGTCTCTCTCTCTGTCTCTGTCTGTCTGTCTCTCTCTCTCTCTCTCACTCTTACTCTACAATTAATCAGCTGTTTTGAATATATATGTACTTTCTTTTTTAAAACCTCGTTGCCCAATGGTGAGACAAATTAACTGGATACATGATCTATGCAGAATGCACATTGTAATCTTTCCCAAAATGGAAAGGGCATCTATACTGTGAGGTAAGGATCTTTTTGCTGGCTAGCATGATACATGATCCTCCCTACCTTTACAAGGCTTTTAATGCCAATGATATTGAATCAGTTCCTGTGACATTGTGCTTTTGTTTTTGTGTATTTTGCCAGCTGTGCTGTGTGGAGGAGGACACAGAGAAGCTGGTACAGAGTGTAGGGCCCATACACCCAGACTCTCGAGAGGCAGAGTTCAAGAACCTGAAGAAGGGGAACTACTCGGTCTACCTTGAAATTTATGTAAGTGATTCACCTGTTGTAAGCCTTATGTATAAGCTGCGGAGGTGTGGGTGTGTGTGTGTTTGTGTGTGTGCGTACATGTATATGCACATGTGTGTATGAGCATGAATGCATACCTGAGTGCATGTTGTAGCAAATGTTTAGTGTGTTGGTTTTATTTTCTTCTTCTCTTATTGATGATAAAGATATTCATCCCAGAATTTAACCTGTTTGTATTATTATTCATAAGCCTAGACCACCGCAAGCAGCCCTTTGACAAGTCTTTTTTTCTTCCCCGCCAGCTGTATGGCACTGATACTGTCATAAGGTCAGAGGTCATGCGTATGCAACCTGCCCTGTCCCCTGACCCTCCACAAACGACTGTCACTTTGGTTGGTCTGGAAGAACGACGACAAATTGAGAAGTTTACCTGTGACCTGGTCAACAAACGTGACAGGTATACTGTATAATATTTTGTTGAGTTCTTTATTGTTTCTATTTATTTTTCTAGTAGTTGTTAATATAAGTATAATTAATGTTAATAAACTCAAATTGTGAATGAAAAACCTTCAAAAAAATTTAATGTAGTTTCTGTTTTGCAGACCAAAAATCTCTTTCATAGTATTCAGTAGTGTTGGGGGGTACCGGCGAAACCCAGTACACTTTCTCGGTACTGGGTGCCAAGAACCGAGAGTACCGGCACCGCACCGGTACTTGGAGTGACATCAATAGGTGACATCACAGACTTCGTGTCTTGCATCTCACACCATGATCAGCGCTGCCCGCATTCCCCCCCCCCCCCAACTCACACACACACACACACGTACACACGTGAGAATTTGAGAGACAAACTGTGACGCCAAATACCTTTGAAGTTTGCGGCAGCGCGGGTACTAACCATTGGTGTCAGCTCCTTCCCAGAGCCGGTACTGGAGGCCAGGTGTCGGTACTAACACCTCCTTCGGTAGAACCGGGAGTTCCAGTACTGGGTACCGGTACCTGCTCATACCTAGTATTCAGCACAGTTTTTAGGAGTCTAAACAGAAAATGGGTGTGTCTGCACCAGAGATATACTGTTTCAAATGAAAATTTGTAAATGGTAGGCTACTGTATGATATACCTGTAGCTCTCATGATTCTTTGCAGACTAATCAGACAAGTGGGTCACAAGCTGAAGAGAATCGGAGCTCTGTCTCACCCGCTACGGGCTGAGAAGAACGAGGTGAGTGTTTCTATCATTGTCGCGTACAGTCATCATAGGCTTTTCTCAATGAGTGGGTGTCACAAAATGGTGAAGCTTTGTCTGATGAAATGCTTTATATAAGGAACAGTATTGACAGTATTGTAGAAGGATGTATTTTTTAGATTGTGTTGTTAGGTAAATTTTATAATCACAGTTTACAACAACTTGTCCCATATATTCTTGACAATAATTTCTTTATCTAAGGATAATTGCTGTTTTGTAAAAAGGAGATTATGCTGACAGCCAAACTCACTGTCTTACTTTTCAGATAAATTTTGTTTAAAAAGAGAAAAGCTGATAACCAGGTGATTTATAATCAACTTAATTAATTGTTTTAGTAAAATCGGGCGCTCGTCAAAATGATGAGAAATCCTAGAAACAGGCATTTTTTCGCCAGTGTGGAAACTTTTGTCAAATTTTTGTTTTTTAGCTTTACCTCTATAACTGCACATTTCCATGTGAATTTCACTGAAAAACATTGATTAAAGGCACAAAATGTGTCACTTTTCAGTTTTCAAAGACTCTTTAGGAATTGGAGTTACCAAACTTTGGTGGCCATTTTCTCGCTAATTTTAAAACCGAAACCAGGCGACCTTACCTCCTTCAATTGCAGATATTTAGTTCTATTCAAGATAAATGGATGCTTATTTCATAGGAATCATGACAAATAAATTGGCTTTCAGATGATACCAAGAACTCCACATGACTAAAAATTGACGAGCGCCTGATTCCATTGCGTTGTGACACATATGTTGTTAACTAGTCTTTTGTCAGACCTAATAAATGAATTGCAAAGATCTATCACAGAAATACTATTAGTAGAGAGAAAACTAAGTAATATAATCATCCAACATTCACTGGCATAACGCTCTGTTGATAAACTGATTACAGAGTGGGATTTAGAGTCTAATCAATTCTAGGCAATAATTACCTCATTGAAATTGAATTCAAATTTTCAAATCCACGATAATGTTTTCATCTTTCCCGCCCCTGCCATGTGCTCAGGACGTTGTGTTCAGCGCCCACTCCCTGACCCGGATAGAAGAGCTCTTAGAGGACTGTTTCAACGCGCTGGAGAACTACACAGGTCAGCTGACAGCACACGTGAGCTGGCAGTGCCCGCAGTCCAACCCTGACATCCAGCTGAGTGGATACAAGGTCCTAGTGGATGGAAAGCAGTATGGGAGCCCCATGCACAGTGGAGTGCGCACCGTCAAGATACAGGTGCGTCAGTTTAAATAAACCAGTGTTGTCATTTTGTTGTTATCTTATTCATCCTAATTCGTCCCTGTCTCCATCATCATTGCAGTAATTATAATATAATCATCATTGGATAAATTTTTTTCAAAAGTTCTTATGAAAACGGAAAATTGTCTCATGGCAATTTGTTCTGACAAAAGCTGGATCAGTCTGAGGATCTCTTCTTCTAACAATTGATTATTTGTCATTTTAACAAAAAGAACCCATCTTTTTGCAGATAGCAGAATGACAAGCAAAATACCTCATATTCTTCTTCCCAAGATAAGATAACATAGTGCAGAGCATAAACTGCTTCCTTGCTCTCTGTGCAACCACTACTTTCTGCCCTGCACTAGCGTAATTAATCTTAGATACATGTCTCACCACCACAGGACATGAGATATTGACTATACAGCACAAGCACAATCGTGTGTTGTGACAGTACAGTAGGCCTACTACTGGCTCTATACTACTTTTCTTGTCTCAGAAATCTTTTCATAAATTCATTGTGCAGTTTTTTTTCTTCATGTTCCGTCTTGCTTGTACTATTGTCTGTGTTTGACGAGATAGACAGTTTCATCTGATTAAAGTGTCTGCTGCAGTTTTCTGTAGTGATAAATACATCCTCAGCCCTTAGTTCTGTTACTTTGTCCACTGCCCATTTTTTTTCTTGTATGTATGAGCTGGAGCGGTGCAACCCATTGGCACCAAACCATGGAACTTTTTGTTTTGACAGAAAACAGTTAGTATTCAGTAAAAATATTCGTGCTTTGATGTGCCAATATTTGTGTTACGACGGGGTGGAATCAGGCGCTCGTCAATTTTTGGGCATGTGGAGTTATTGGTATCATCGGAAAGCTTATTCATTCAAGCTATCTTCAATAGAAGTAGAAATATTTGACATTGAAGGAAGTGGGGCTAACATGGCTTCAGAAGTAAAATTATTGAGAAAATGGCTGCCAAAGCTCGGTAACTTCCATAGCTAAAGAGTCCTTGAAAACTGAAAATGTACATATTTTGTGCCATTAAGCTACGTTTTTCAGTAAAATTCACAAAGAAATATGTTTCTATATGAGCATAAAAGGTGTTGAGCCAAAAAACAAAATTCGATAAGAATTGCCAAACTGGAGTAAAAATGCCTGTTTCTTCGATTTCATTATTTTGACGTGCACCTGATTCCACCACGTCGTGACACATTTGTGTTTTAACCCTCTCGTATTGTTTTCCTCTTCCCTTCAAATCTTGTCAATATACCTGGTGCCCATATCCAGTTGGGTCTGGAGCAGCCCAGTTATCGACTGACCATGGTTGCGACCAGTGAAAAGCCCCAAGGCAGCAGTGCTGAGTCTAACACAGTTGAAATACTCAGCATGCCCTTCAAGCCGTTCTCCTTCTATTGTTACAACGCAATACACAGCAAGGACTCCAAGTGAGTAATCTGATAGCTGTTTCTAATGGGTTTCATTGAAGAATAACTAGCTTAAGCAATAATTTTACTTTTTTTTTTTTGTTCAGTGCTGACACATCGTACACTGTATCTCAATTTGGCTCAACTAAGTATAAATCTTTGTAAATGTAAATAGGTAATGAAATGAGCAACTTTTAAATCTAAACAATGATGCTAAAGTAGGAAAGTATTTAAAAAAGAGGTCTAATCAGCCTCTGAGAAATTTGTCCTGAGGTGTCTTGATAAGCTTTAGCTACCACTGAAGTTGAAAGACAATTTCTTTTATTATCCATAACTTATGTCCTTTCTGTAAGATAAACATTGCAGTGTATGATGTTTATCATCCCCTTTATCTCATGTGCGACACAGGTACCCAGCTTACGGCTGCTGTAAGTACCAGGACTCAATCTCCTATGAGAGGCAAGTGGCAAAGAAACTGGCCAATCAGGGTCTCCTCCACAAACAGGTCCCGCCCCCATCCTGCAGCCTTCTGGACATATTTGATGGAGAGTACAAGCCCCTTATGTCCTGCCACAGCGCACGGGTCCCGACGGTCATCTTGTTTTGGACACCTTGGTGTCTCTCCTCCCAGAAAATTATGGATTTCTACATCCGCTTTGCTCGAGATAACACCAAAGAGGTAACGTACACTTCAGTGACATAAGTAAATTTGTGATTTCCTGTGGAAAAGCTGTTGATCTTTTTTTTTTCCTAAGAGACAAAATACACTGATATTTCCTCTCTTATCCTCATTATTTAAAGGAATCTGAGAACTATTTTCAAGAACTTGTTTTCCCTTTCGGTAAACTTACGTCTTAGTTTAGTTTTAGTAAAAGTTTTACGGCACTTGCAACACAATAAGGTCATATAAGTGCCGAAGATCAGAGGTGTTACAAGAGAGTAACAAACACCAAAAAAAAAAAAGAAAGAGGAGAGAGAAGGACGATAGTTTTTGATAGGAAAGAAGAAGCAAACCACACCAGAGCACCCGCCGACCACTCTCAAACTTACATCTACACATGATGAATAGCCTTGTGTTTCATTATGCAACATCAAAAAGAAACATTTGGAATGTCAATCTTAACCTCTGTGCTCTTGACAGCTTCACGATGTTTTAGTTCACTCAGCCACAGGAGATGTAACAAGATTTGAGAAATACTTTATATACTTCCACAGAACCATACAGTGGATCTCCCACTTTGATATTTAAGGAAGCATTAATTTTGATTTGAGCATCACAAGATAACTTTGGTTTCCTGTTTAGTTTTATTTGGCAAAAGAAGTTGTAAATATATTTAGAATTAATACCAAATTTATTGATATCAGAATTTACTGAGTCAGCTTGTTAGTGGGAAGAGTGTATAAATTTACTTTTCCTGCTCACGCCGTGGAGGCAACGATAAACTCAGACTCTGTAGTTTTTTGGGGGACTCTAAGTGAACGTTATATCATGTTGTTGCTATAAAGAATATGAAATATATTGTTCATCTTTTTCCTCCAAAAATGTGTAGCCCTAGTTTAGATTACTACTGACCCAAGAGGTTAGAAAGAGATTCTACCACACTTATGACATTTATTCATTCTTTCTATGATTATGCTTTCACTTCGAAGGAATCACCCCAGGCTGAACATGTTTGCACAAACAATTTACTCTAACATTCAACCTCATACCCCTGTACTAGTAGGAACAATTGAAATCTGTTTTGTTTCTCCTTCAGTGAATAAAAGAAGAAGAGATCATGAAATTTTAGTAAGTTACTGTGACAACTTTTCCCATTTAGGAACAAACCAGTTTCGTAAAAAAAATGTAAACCAGTGTACAGAAGTTTTAAAACCGCACAGAAAATTGAGGTAGCCAACATGGTAACGGTACAAATACTGAGGGTAATTTGCCATTTACAAAAAAAAATTTCATTCAGATATCTAGATTCTAGATATAATGTTTCTCATGATAGTCGGCCGTGGCAAGCTGGAAAATAATAAGGGGGTGTGGAATAAGCGGGGGGTGCGCAAAAAACTGAAATGTAATAAGTGTGTGTGTGTGGAGGGGGGGGGGGGAATTGGAAACTGTCCTCTTCATATTTTATTTTTGGAAACCCCTTTGGACACCAAATGACAGATTTCGGCTTCAAATTTCACCCAGTGTCTGCAATTGCTCTATTAGATTTTAAATATTCTAAGACACAGAGCATGACAGCAGCTGAACTGAATGATTTTAAACCCCATATTTGTGTTTTCTAGATGACGTTTATGGCAGTGACATGTGGTGTATCTGGGACAAGTGCTGACAGTCGCAAAAACCTGGCACACACCATTACGTCCAACAGCTGGCGTGAGGACAAGGTTGTTTGGCATGTCACTTCAGAGTGTGCCTCCAATGTCTACGAAACAATGAACAGCATCAACAGATACAATTCAGGTAAGTTTTCCTGTGGCCAGGTTATCAGAGTGACATCAGTGATACCGTCACTGATTTGATTATTAGCCTTCTATTGAAAATGTCAAACTATATTATGATGACTGGATGCAATATTCTGACAAATGCCGTTTTGCAAATTGACGTTTGGCGGAGTCTCGCACGCAGCCATCAATTTGATAGTGTGTCAAGAAGGGCATCTTCTGTTTAATCAGTTCAAGCCCTGTAATCTCCCCACCCCTAATTAAAAATTAAAAGAAATTGAAACAAAATAACAGAAAAACAATAAAAAATCAAGTTTAAACCCAGTGCCAGTAGAACTGGGGAATTTTGATCGTACTTTTGCTGTTTTGGATGCGTGACACTTTTGGTCATCACTTCCTCTGGTGTCATACTTTTTAACACTCAGGCTTCTGCTCAAAACCATTCTTTCCGACAGAATTTTACTATTATAATGTAGATGATTCAAGTATTGTAATGATAAGTTATGATAATGTTGCTGTTTTTCTTGATCCTGTAGCCTTTGAGCAGATTGTGTGCTTAGTATAAGACTCATCCATATGCAATTTTACATGTTGACTTTAGACCGTCTTACACTGTGCAGTTGAGATGCTCTTCTGACGAGTAAGTTATAATGGTAACATACTCTAGAGAATTTGGCTTTGCTTATTCAGGTCAGAAATTTGAGGCTGAGAGTGTGCGGGAGAAGTACATGGACCTTACAGAGGTGCTGGGAATTGCAGGAGTGCCCACCTTTCTCTTTATCCACCCTGATGGTGAGTTGTCTGCTTTCTTCTCTTTGACTAGAGAAGAAAGGGATTTTTTTGTACCCTGTATAAACTTTTCACTTGTGCACAATTTGTCAAAACCGTCTTTTTTTCTCTTCTCTCATGAATGCCTTAGACACACATGGATGTTTCTTAGAAAAAGAACATAGCTTACATTGCTGTGAATAAAAATGAAGCTTATTTAAGACTATTTAATCCCCCCCCCCTCTCCTTTTTTTCCCCACTTCTTTCATGGTCCTCTCTTTCTCCCACAAATGTTTGTGGCTTCACACTTTGAAAAATACTCTCAACATACCCGTCTGACATGATACAGGCAGCAGATCTCTGTTTTTTATCCTGGGTTGTAGTGTATGTGACTGGCTAGCATGGAAACATATTAAAAAGAGACGTATAGGAAAATACTTGGCTGTGTGCAACATGGAGCAGAGAAAAAGTATTTCAATTTCAGTGGTGTGCGTTGTTTTTACTTTCAGGTCACATTGCTTGGCATGGCCGCTACTGTGCCTTTGACTATGCAGCGTTCGATGCCTTTATGCGATGCACCAAGAGTGAAGTGGTGCGCCAACCGTGCCCCGTGTTCAACTGTGACCTGTGTAAGAGTGACACGACTGTGGATGAGGATGCCATGAGTATGTTTTTCTCCAAACTTTGTGTTTATCTTGATTGCAGTGAACTCAGTCTATATTAATTTTTTTTTTATAACAGATTTTTTGTATGACTTTTATGGAACACACATATTTTTTATCAGTCAGCAAACCATCCTGTTGAAAAACCAAATGCTACATCTCCAAATTGAACCATTCTGTATTAAGAAGAACTTTACATTTCAACCAAAACTAAAAATATTTTGACATAATGACCACCATCGTGTGGAAAATCATTAATAGTTTGATATATGATAATGATGAAAGTCTTTACCTCGAGAGTCTATTTAATATAATCATGATGAAAGCCTTTACCTCAAGAGTCCATTTATTATACAAACGACGAATGTGTATTCCTCAAGAGTCCATATTTGAATTCATTCATTTGAGATACTTATGCCTTTATCTCACTGAAGGTTTTTTTCATTAAAACAGTATTTTCTCTATGCTAAGATTCCTAGTGCTGTTAGGCAAGTACGATACTCAAGGTTTCATCTTCCTGAAATTTGCAATGTATTAAAAAAATTATAAAGTTCAACAAAATTGACTCTTGGGTCCCTATTTTTTGTTTAGGTTATCTAAGTATTGACTAAATTAATACATGCCAGTTTCCTCCATCACTAAAAATTCACATTGTCACTCTGTTGTTCACAGCTCTTCAGATGCCTCATTTGAGTTCATCTCAGACACGATCTGCCGCAACCCGCGCTGCCTCGCCTGACAGTATGGACATGGGCTCTCGTCCAGACATGAAATATGCAGCTCTCAGTGGCTACACCGATAATGTCACTGGCACTGAGCGTGTCTTTGTGTCCCCGAAGGCTCGACCAAAGAGTCCCAAAGTGCGAAGGAAACGCAGCAACATATCTGTTAACAAGCGGCCGTACTCCGCATCGGGCGCATCTGCTGCTCTGGATCGCTCACCTTATCTAGCTTGTGTTGCTCCTCACATACACCAACCGCACACAGTGAAAACTAGGCCTGCAAGTGCAAAGAAACTGATACATTATGTGTAGTCGACATAGTATACGTTTCTTTCTCCATTTGGAATTTGTTAAAATAAATATGGAGTATACCTGAGATAAGTATTTTGTTAAGCTGGAAAAAGCAAACGAATTCTGTGTAATCTGTAGTCACAGAGAAAGTAGGATGGCTGATTTTTATCATTCATATTGCTTTTTGGAAGAACACGATAAATTCAATTAATGTTGGGAGATAATTGCAGACACATCTGAAAAATCATTACTATACTCATGGAACAAGAGAGACGATTAAATTTTTGGAAGCATTTATCGCACTATGCCAGAACATCACAGTCTCTTTGGTAGTATACCTTGTCTGTTATCACTAAGGCTCACCGCTTAGTTTGACAATCATTGTGTGTTTTCTTATAAAGATTAGCAAAGGCGCAGACTATAACGCCCATCTGTATGTATCTATATTTTGCATAATGACAAAAGTCTATTCAATATTTGTTTCAATTCATAATTTTACAGAGCTTCATACAAACACCAAAAAAGCCAAGGATTTTCATTTGAAAGTTCAAAGGTTGTGACTTTTTTTTTACGTTCCCATTCATTAGCAGGGGTGTGTTCCCCGCATTTAGTCAGTCTTTGCAAGGTGAAGCTGAAGGCTTCTGTTGAACACACCATAAATACTACTTGAAAGCTCATGTTCTCATCCTGTCACTGTTGTATTATTTAGCTGTATATGCATTCCTAGAGAGCAGATAAAATTATATTTTCTACCATCTGTTCTACTGCTGAGGATATTATTACTCTATATTATTATTATGACTTCTAAGTGCCAATGAACAATATTTTTTTTAGTGACCCTCTGTATGTTTCTGCATAAACTGTATTTTATGACATGAACATGATTCGTTGTTCGTTCTCTTGTCAACTCTTGTGATAAATTCTCAATTGACCAGGAAAATTAAAAACTGGGCTTATGATTGTTTCACTGAGGAGAAATATTTCTTTTCCTTTTTCTTGTCTCATGTCTGTGCTTTCTCTCCCCTGTGCTGTAAGAATCTGCTGTATTTGTGCCTTACTAACCGACTGCCTCCAAATCCAAAGCTGTGCAGTGTAAGCACCATGAGTCCCTCTCTGGTAAGAATTGAGTCCAGGGGGAAAAAGTAGGTCATGTCAAGGTTTGTTGTGATGCTTTTGTAAATTTATTAAATAAATTAAATATCCCGAGATGAAGTGCAGTGAGAAGGAGGGAGAAAGAGAGCCCACCAGAACTTCTCGTTTGCAAGAAAGAACTGGGCAGGAAATCACTGTTCTTACGATGGAGTGTATCCCTATTCAATTGTTGTTGTTTTTTGCTTGATACCATGGACAAAACCTATGGGTTTGAGTTTGATCCGTTATATATATATACACTGTAATACTTTAATTACTACTACTACTACTACTACTATATAATGGTTCCGTATATTCACATTTGAGTATCAAAATCAAAATATTTGTTTACGATGATTGTCTTTTGCAATTATCTCGTGTTAATCACTAACATGACCATCACCATTTTATCAATTCTATGTTTCCTTTTTAAAGTGACTTTTAAATCCTAGGTTGAAAAACCTTGACTTGTATTTTTTACGTGATATTTCAAGACAGCTGTGATACAAAAATTAACATAGTGGTGACCTTTTTGCTGAGATCTTTGTATATTGTATATATACATATATGGCTTTACATGCAGACAAGATGTGTGTGTGTGTGTGTGTGTTAGCCTGTAGGGATTTTTCTATCTATACATTTTACACGTATTTTGCTGACACTCAAGTTTACTAATTACGTAAATCACTGCATCACTTTTACTGTACTTTTTATTTCTCCATTTTTTTTTTGGCACCGACATGACGGACAAACTGTTAATCTGGAGACCATCTTTAATGTTGTTGAATTTTTGTTAACTTTTTAAAAACTTATGCAGAACAGATGATGGACTCATATTTGTCTGTGATAAACAAAACTAGAACACTTTAAGTCACAAAACTTTCTATGTGTTTTGGCTACATATTTATTTTTCATGCACCGAAAATAATATTCTGATTCTTACTGTCTGTTGTCATTTCTTGCATTATATAAGATTTTAAAATATAACTGCCTCTGTCAAAATGAAAAACTGTTCGAAAATGATAAAAGGTACAAACAGATTTTAAATCGAAGCATACTTTTTACAAAATGTTGGCTTCTTATTCACTTTCTGTGTGGGTCACTAATTGTCACACAATAACAGTACCAGAGTACCCTTTCTTCAGCATGTCCAAAAATTGACTTGGGTATTTATCTTGAACAGATGACAAATGTATTCTCTAATGTTCTCTTGTTAGTTTATATATATATATATATATATTGTTACATACTTAGATTGAGGAAGTTCTATCTTCGTGTTTTGATCAAACTGAGGCATACGCGACAAACTACTTCTACCATAGTAGCAGCATCAAACAGATTGTTTGAAAAAAGTTTTCTCTCATTAAAATTTGTTCAAGTTACAGGCATGAAAATTATAAAATACACAGCATGGGTTTGGAAACTCCTCATTCTAAGAGTGTGTGGTGCTAAGCTGGAAGGAGGCAGATGTTGAATCCTCCTACTGTGTAAGAATGCCCTGACAACTGATGATGCACGTCGCTTCCTGTAGACATTCTGACTAATCTGATTTTTCAATATTTTCAAGTTGACAGAGGCTTTCTTTGTTTTCCCCTTCTTGGCCCTTCTACTTGTACTACCCATGTCCTCGAATTCCCAGTGAAAAACTGCAAATTGTAATTCTTTTAATCACTTTTAGAGAATAAAATATCTAATTATAGTAGGACTGTGTTGTTTTGAAGTTTATGTAGACTGTTTTACAGTACAAAATCAACGTTTTGATAAATGTTAATGATATTGATAGAGATCTGTGCAGAACAGGCATTGCGGAATCCAGGAGACATCAGGTAGTTAACAGGAAATTTTTCAGTCGAAGGTGTTGCAAGTCTTCAATCTGAGGAACACAATGAAGCCCCCCCCCCCCTAAAAAAAACCCAACATCTTTATGCAGATAAGCCAACTTCTTTTTCATGTGCCCCTGTGAAGGAAGGAAACAATTGGACAATGGGTGCTCCAACAAGAACGGATCATTCTAGTACAAATTCACGGTCAACTGTGCCAGTACCATGCTAAAAGGCTATCCAGGGAACCCTTTTGGAGTGTGTTGTTTAAGTTCTAAAGTTCTCTCAATGGGCTGGGCCCTATCCTATCAGAAGCTACATCAAAGGTAACACCTTTTAAGTTTTAGTAGAGGTTTTACGGAACTCACAACTGCATAAGGTCATATGACTGCAAGAAGATTAGAGTTTGTTTTAGTAAGAGTTTTACGGCACTTGCAACACAATAAGGTCGTATAAATGCCGAAGATTAGAAGTGTTACAAAAGAGCAACAAACACAAAAAAGAAAGAGGGGAGATAAAGACGATAGATGTTTGAAAGGAAAGAAGAAGCAAACCACACCAGAGCACCCGCCAACCACCCACAGAAGATTAGAGGTGTTACAAGAGAGTAACAAACATAAAAAAGAAGAAGGGGAGATAAGGACAATAAGATGTTTGATAGGAAAGAAGAAGCAAACCACACCAGCACACCCGCCAACCACCCACTCACCTTTTAAATAACTACTTTGCCAAAACAATATCAAGAGGTTAGCCCAGGATATGGAAATGTGGAAAGTGTTTATTCGCTGCCTATACCCTGATCCAGGATGAGCAAAGCATGGATGATGATGCCAAAAGGAGCTTTAAATCAGAACAAGCTATTGTAGCCAACTACATTTCTGCCGTAAGCTGACAAAACGCGTTTTTTCATTTTGGCACCAATATATTTGTTTATTTGCTAATTCGAAAGCCTGATCAGTTCTCCTACTTGTGTGAACAAATCAAATTCAAACTGTTACTAGTTTTTGAATAACTTAGAATTCAAATTTTGGAATGACTCTATTCTTAAATGATACACTGACAAAAAAAACTGTTCTTCAAAACTTCTCTGTTAGTTCGGCACTTGCAACACAAGTAGGTCATGTTTAGGTGTCAAAGAACAGAGGTTTTACTAGAATAAAATACAAAGAAAAAGAGGAGGAAAGATAAAAATGACAAATGTTTGATAGGAAAGAAGGAGCAAATTACACCAGAGCACCCACCAACTACCCACTAACTATACTAGTACTAGACTCTCAAGAAGAGATGTATTTTCTATAGGTACTTTCTGTTTCGCAAATTCAACAGTGCACTCATGAGTCTTTTGGTCTGATTTATTTAGGACCTAGAACCTTCACTCAGATATTAAGCGCAATATTAGAGAACACTTTTCTCTCATTTAGAACTTGCCCCAGACATTTTGTGGGCAATTTCAGCTGAACAGTACAGTAGTTTATAATCTCAGATTTACATCTCAACTTTCAGTGGATGATAAATTGCAATATTTCTCAATACAACAACAATACTAATAACAAAAGAAACAAAAAAAGAAAAAAGAAAGAAAGAAAGAAAAACAGAAAGAAAGGACTGTTCAGGACATAAATGAAAAGGATAATGAGCTGAACAAGTTGAAGAAAAAACACAGAGATAGGTGGTGGACGTGAAGTACAAATTTAATGCTTCACTGCCCATGACTCTAAGTGGAGTAATCAAACATTCAGTCAACTTAACATACAGTAAATAAATGACTTGAATCTTCACTAGGAAGAATGTTTTATTTGCAAAAAACTCATTCACTTCAGAAAATTGCTGTGCATGCAATACAGCCTTGCATACTTTTGAGTTCTTAAATAATACATGTGTACAAAACAACAACAGCTTGAAATCGTGTACACTTCAACTTCAATTACAATAAATGTCCATAAACATACACATATATCCATCAGGCGTGAATGCCAGACAACTTAACTCTCAAAAAAAAGGTGTACCCATATATGTGCATGGTGCTGGGTTGGACATAGTCCTTCACTGGTGAGTGATTATATGGGCTTCAACTTCAAGACTGCAGATGAAGCCAGGGGCATTCATTTTCCAAACAGCCATATTCACGCTTAAGCATGAAGCATGCCACACATGGAGTTGCAATGGGAACAAAGGCCGCCCACAGCCCCTTTTATGAGACGGTATCACATTCTGGTGCAAAGCACAGAACAAGAGCAAAGCATCTGACCCTCACCTTCCTTTCAAACAGCACTCATCACATCACCCCAAAGACTTCCAGGCACTTTAAACAAACCTCAGTCACTACACCACGCACTCAAAAAGGCCTTGCACAGCTTTCAAACTTCACCAAACACTCAAACAATCGTCCTGTTATTTCATACAACAAGCAAACATAAACCTGTTATACACAATTGCCACTCACCGGACTATTTTACACAGACATCTTATCCTACACACATTTCAACTCCGGTCTTTTCACTCCAAAAATATTTCTGTTATTAGTCGGATGATGATGATAACACATTCAGCAAAGACAAGGAAGAAAATCTTTCAGACCAAGACTCTAAACCGATTTTCATTCATACAAAACAGAAAAACTTTTACCCAGGAATATATTTTCCCCATTCTCTCCCAAAGAATGTGCTTCTCTCTCTCCTCAGTAAACCTATTCCTGCCAGCATTCTCTCAAAGTTCTGGATTCTTCCATGGTCCCAACACACCTGCATGAGTTAATGCACATACACATCTGAGAGTGTTGTGTTCCCGAGCAGCTCACGCCAGCATCTGTACACAAGGACCAAAAATATGTGTTCCATGGACAAAGCAGTGAGCATGCTATAACATCGCAACAGGTTTTAAACTTTATATTATATCTATGTCACTAAATTGAAAAATTCAAGTACACTCATGTCCATCAATGACACACCATTTTCAAATCATATAAAAAAAAGAAGAAAAAAAAAGACCCCCATAAATATTGGTAAAGATACACATTCTGCAAACCAGATTTAACAAAACCATGTAAAACGAGGGTCTTGAAAACAGAAAACGGCAAACAAAAAGGAAAAATGGTTTTGTAGGAAAATGAAGCAACATATCAAGTATTGTTACCCAAAGCAAAATTCCATAAATATTTTTTCTGCTGTCACACTCTCAACCCTTGCAGGGAAATAAATACCTACACAGTGTTAAAGCTGAGGAACACATATCTAACTTTTTTTTGCACCCTTTTATTAGCACTTGGATCTCTAGGACCTACACATAACTTTGCAATACGAATGGCACTCCCTCATTATATGCTGGAAATTCCCATTCTACTGAAGTACAGAGCACCAAATGCTCAAGGACCATTCAGTAGGCGTTTGTGCTTCTGGAGACTGATATTGATTAAGTCACAACAGAAGAGAAAATGCAGAAGAAAGAAATCTATAGTGACAGATCTACTTAAGAACTAGCCAATGTGTGCGCATGCAACTATCAAAAAAGGGGCCAAGGGAAATGAATGTGAAAGCAATTAAAAACCAAATGTTGTATCATCTTCTTCTGAGAGTCAGCGTGTAATAGCCTTATTTTGCTAGGCACAGATAGGCCTACAGAAAATAGTAATATTGAAAGAAATAGATGATAACAAGACAGTCAGAACACCTACCAGCCGCCAGCTGTTCAAATCGAAATATGGCTCTGGCAATAAGAAACTTAACCTAAGGTTACACTCCAAGATGAAGGACCACAGGCAGTCCAGTAAGAAATTAATTTGATAATAAAGCAGTATAGGCAAACACCCCCCCCCCCCCCCCAACAAAAAAAACCCAACTATTTTTCTGCCTTTCCACCAAGAACTTGTAGGTGGATATGTCATGCACAGCATATAAAAGCAGAGTCAACATGGTAAGTTTGAGTAGAATGTCAGTTTCTCTTGTGTGCGGTTTTTAAAAAAGTCCTCACTATGAGGGAAAAGTTCCATCTATAATATACACAGTTGCACTGATCATAATATTGAGCCTTGAGTTCCTTGGTGTACAGAAGACAGGACATCAACTCCCACAGTAGAGGCCACCAAGTCACCTGGTCCCAGTCTCTGCTCATGACAGTGTTTCCCCTTTGGTTATCTGGAGACAAGAGAACAGGCAAAGAGGTGTTAAAAATCGACATACAAAAAACAAAAGGTTTAGGACCACACTCAGAGACAACATCTATGAAAAAGAAACTTCCTTCTCACAAATCCTGAAAACCCTTGAAAACATACAGTGTTAACCACTGAGGCAATCTTGAGAACAAACAAAAAATTAAAAGCAACTCAGAAAAAGTAGAAAAGGTTCAATAAGAAAACTTTCACATCGTGACTTCCACCACAGGTAATTCACTACATCTAACCAAAGTGACTACTGTTGAAGTACTGGGATTTGTACCAGAACACATGAACTGAACACACACTTGTGTGGAAAAAAAATCATTTTATCTACACCTAGAAGAAGCATGTGTGCCTTCTTCACATACAGTACGGTATCCTTTGTCTTCACACATAATAATATCTAAACCCAAGCATCAAAGCACAGAAGTCTATTGGAAAAAAGAAAAGTTCTGTATAATTTGAAACATTACACCACATAATAAAATAATCATACTCTTTCAGGAGAAAAATCTCACGTGACAACAGACACGATGTGATGAACCCAATGAAACAAAGCATTAGACAAAACTTACTAGCCAAAACATAATAATAAATAATGGATTGCATTTACATAGCGCATATCCACTTATGCAATGCTCTATGCGCTTAACATGATACATATTATGGATTTACAAATATGTGAACACATGAACCATATTTCTCTCTTCTCTATAAAGAAAAGATCTAAGTCTCAGGAAGCTTTGATTTTGAGTGGAGTCTAGAACTAGAATTCATGATGGGAGCCTTCAGCAAGAAAGAAGCATTATGAACTTATCATCTGTTAAAGAACTGAAATGACCTTCGTGGAAAGAGAGATTTCAACTAAGTGTCCAGTAGTAACTATATCTCCTTAAACAACCTGGGCCTTCATTTTATTGTGGGCCATGAAAATGGAATTAAATGTTATAGTCCATCATGCTGAGCAGCGTCACAAACCAAAAATAATCTTTAAATCTGTCCAAACTTTGACATCAGCTGTTGCTCTCCTTATATTTGCACATGATTTTTGAAACATAATCTTGAAACAGCAAAAAAACTGAAACTAATTCGATAATAAATACACACTCACATAAAAAATATATGTAATATATGTAAAAAAATCAAAGAGTAAACAACTAAATTAGCCCATGCAAAGTAGCAAGACTTCACTTGGAACGAATTCTGGTAACATGACGATCAGAGACACAGTATCTTTTAAGTTTCCCTTCACTACACTGTAAAGAAGTATCTAATAATAAGATAGTTTTAAAAATCATTATATTTTTTTGCTAACCCATTGACATCATGTTTAAAAAACAGTCTATAGTAAACAATTTCCTGGGACTCTGCTATAGTCATGACATGATGACTTGAGTTACAAGATATATGAATGCATTCAGTTGTTTAGAATGACACTTTTCCACACTCAACTTAATTAACAAGTTCCCATCCACAATACAGCTGAAACTAGTCAAATAATACATTCTTAAATTCAGTTGCTGTACATAAAAAGAGAGAGAGAGCACTCAAATCCCACTGCACACATATCAAAATGTGACTTTAACAAATTTGTGCCCGTATTAGCACCCTCCTATACTTGTGTACCCCTGAGGGCATGAGCAGAACAGCTTAACATATTATCTCTTTTCAAGAAAAAAGAAAAGTGATCAGTTAGTAGGAACTAATTCAAACCCACACACACACACACACACACTGTGAGTAGAAAATTAAACTTCCTGACAAAGTTAGTGAAAAAGTATGAGATGTAGCTACTTGATTTAAATGTTTGGTTTGGTTTTTTAATCAAAATAAAATACATATATAAGTATAATGATGATGAAGCAAAATAACCAACCATTCATTACTCAAAGGTATGAAATCATGCAGGTAAAAACTAAATTTAAAAAATACAACACGTTGAATAAGAAACTGATTGTCCTACGAAGGACGAAAATTGTGAGCCTGTACACTCTTCCTTCCCCAACAGCTTCCGAGGCAGACACAAATATCTCTGTATGTCTCTACAACTGTAGCACGGGTGGCGCTCAGTTCATTGATGCATTAGTTTAGTAAGCTACACAAGTCGTCTTTCACGAAAATACAAGCAAAGGAGACATACAGTACACATTCTTTCATGCATCTTGTTCACTTCTTTAAAAAATCTAACTGCTGCAGTAATTTATCACTTCACTTAAATATATCTAACTGTAAACCTTCCAAACTCATAAAAACAGTCCTGTTGAACTGCATCCTCTAACATGAACAACAGCATAGGAGGAAGAAACGTAGCCTGCAATGTCAGACATGAGAGCAACTGTTCAGAAATGTATCCACTGTGCCAAATTTAAAGAGCAAAGAAGAAGCACACCACCAGGAACAGTGAATATTATACTTTCCAGATATTGTGAATGTTTCGCTGTAGCCCTTAGCACACCACCACCTAGACAACGTTCCACAAGAGACCAGACACATATATCACAAATGGAAAGCACTACATCCAGTTTTTACCCGCTGTGAAATGCTTCTCTAAATGAAATGATGATACTATTCATGAGTTACATGGTTGTATGTACAATGTCTATGGCAACAGCACAAAATGAAGGAAATAACTGACGCATGTGTACCTTTCTACAAGCCTACATAAAGACAGAATACAAGCATCAAAGCTGTTAAAGTAGAGAGAGTGCAAGAGGTAAATATTGGGTACTTGGTGAACTGAAGCCAACACAAGGCACAATAACCAAAACAAGACCAAGGGTGTACCGATATCACAATAAGTCTGGTGTCTCAAAGAATAACACACACAACAAAGGACACTTTGCACCAGAATATAAGGAATGACAACAGCACCACTAAAGACCGACCGAGAGAGAGGATGAGGTGACCTACCTCTCAACATTGCGTTGAAAAGTATAACAGAGCAATTTATGGCTTGGATTTTGAGAAGATCGAAAAGGAATTAATTTCAGCATCTTAATAAGGACAACAAAGCAAATAAGAACTCAACTTTACAAAGAACAGAGGAAAAAACAGTCGTTCAACTCTGAAAAAGTAAGCCAACAAAGACAAGAGTCCATAAGTAAGCTTGACAAAACAAAACTTTCATTTTCTTTTATCCATTTATACCCTTTTGTATGTCATAGGAAGAAAGAGACCTCTCTCTGTCGCCAGCCGGAGAGCTTGGGTCAGGGGAATGCCGTGAGTTGTTAGTGTGTCCCTGACTCCATCTATCCAGGTATTTCTCGGTCACCCTCTCGCCTTGTTGCCATTGAATTTTTTTATGTAGGCACGTTGTGCTGGATGGTGTGTAGGTAATCGTATGAGATGTCCGAACCATTTGATTCTTTGGTGTTGGATGTGATGCATGACACCATTGGAGCTCACCATTTCTCTGATTACTGAGTTTTTAATTTTGTCTCGCCTGGCCTTGTTTACTGCTTTTCTAAGACATCACATTTCACATGTTGTAATTCTATGCTCTAATACTTGTTCGTGGTCCATGTTTGGCATTGATAGGTGAGTGTTGGGATGAATATGGTGTTGATCATTTTGAGGTTTGTTGTCATGGGGATGTTAGGATGTTTCAGTAGAGGAGTAAGCTGGTAACTAACATTATTGACCTTTTGTACTCATGTTTCAATTTCTCCGTTTAGTCCTTATGCAGTTGCGAGTGCCGTAAAACCCTCTACTATAAAAATATATATCCGTTTAGCTGCCCATCCTCTGTGAATATACTTCCGAGGTACTTAAATTCATGGACCTGTCTGAGACTGTTGTTGTTGATGTGTATTCTGAGTAATCCTGGCTTTCTGCTTACTTTCATTGTCTCTGTTTTGTTGGTGTTGATCTTCATGTCGTAGTTGTTACATTCTTCGTTTAATCTGGTGGTGTGGTGTTGGAGACTTTGTTTATCTTTTTGTGCCAGGCTTTGGTCATCAGCAAAGAGTAATTCATTTAGGGCGTCTGGTTCTGTGTTGGCCTCTTTTGTAATTCTATCCATATATGATAAATACTAGTGATGATAGGACACAAACCATGTCTTACTCCGGATGTTATCTCGAACCATTCTGTGAGTCTTTCCACAGCTTGTTTCTGTTCACTCTGTCGAACGCTTTTTCCAGGTCAACAAATGCTACTATATTTTAGTTCCCTGTTGCATTCTATTATCTTTTTGCACATTTATCATAGAACAAATATTGCGTTGGCGCATCCTCTTCCCTTTCTAAATCCCATTTAGGCCTCACTCAGAAATGGTTCAACTTTGTGTCTTGTTCGCCATTCCAATATCTTGGCGAACATCTTGTCCACATGGCTGAGCAGTGAAATGCCTCTATACATTACACAGTCTCTCTTACTGCCTTTCTTCTTCCAGATTGGTACTATGACCGCTTTTTGCCAGTCGCTGGGAACTTTTCTTTCTGTCCATGCTTTCTGGAAGATTTTTGTGACAAAACAACTATAAAAATCAACAGGATGACTTCAATAAATAAAAGCTTCCCAGAAATCTACAACCTGAACAAGGGATGAACACAAAAAACTCTATTCACTAATGTGCATTAGTTTGTACTCCTCCACTCTCCACAGTATCTTTGGAAAACTCACCTACAATAGCAGCAAAATTATCAAGCAAACAAGATAAACCTCATTAAGGACAACAAAGTTCCATCAACCACAAAGGCAAAAAACAGTAAAATGCATAACCTGACCTTTTCAGAAGACAAAATGTTTACCAGTTACCTAGTTTAAATAAAGAACTACAAGATAGCCTTGCTATTCAAGAAAGATCAAGGCAAAAAAAGGAAAAGACAAGAAAAAATAAGGAACCCCTCTGTACAACTGCTATACAGGAGAACACTCGTTCTTCAAAGAATGCTTCTGAATTTTTAATATTTCTCCAAATATCAAAAATGTATTTAACTTTTCATTATCTTGACATCCATTAATCATAGGCAGCACACGTTGACATGTTGCAAAACTAATACAGGTCACTCATTGCTCTCTCTACACATATCAGTCTAAAGGTCTCACACGCAAGAGCCATGCAGTATGAATGACATATTCAACATAATATATAATAGAAAACAGCATTATGGCCACTTGAGATGCCACTTGAGGACAGCAGCAACAACATGGTAAAAACCAAATCATATCAGATCTATTTGTTGCCAAATTTTGCAAGATTGAAAAGTTTACATCATTGTCCTATATTGTTTCACTTTAAAATCTATGGCACAAAGGTAAAAAAAAAATGTTGTCCATTAGTCAGCATCTATAATCTTAAACACAATACTCACAAAAACTCTTTTTATCAGCGCAAACCCTGCTCTCAAAACTATTGTTAGCACCCTTAGAAACAATTCCATCTTCCAGCTCCCACTCTGTACAGATCAGATGACTGGTGACAAAAATTCTGTATCAGGACCATCCAGACTAAAATCTCAATAAAATCAAAGAATTGACCAAAGGTTGTTCTCAACTGTACGCAGATGCAGTAATGAAAATATCCCTGGGTTAGAACAATCAAACTTCCCTCACCTATGTCATGATAATTTAAGCTTGGAGGATGTTAGCATCAACAACTTCATTTTTAAAAAATGAAAACTAAACTAAACAAAACTGCTGCTCCACCTTTCTCTATCAACATGACAAAAGCTAGTAGATGTTAGCATCACTCACATAATAAAACAATAGTATAAAAAAACGACCAAACTGCAACTGATGGACGACAAAAGATTGAGAAACAAGATAACTTAAGTGGGCAGGGCCAAAGCAAACTGGGTGAACCTGAAGCAAGACACTCATCAATTTACCATGGTGCTACGGCTCACAATTGTTCGACCTACAGATTGGATCATACTAGATTTTCTGAGCTTAACTCAATTTCATCTATTTGTTGATCATTCAGCTGCCCATACTCATTATTCGCAATCTGGAGACAAGACACAATAGAAAGATGGTTATGTCAAGCAAGACAAATGAATATCATGGTATTAATTCCACACAAAACAATCAAACCAATTCATACTTCTGAAATGAAATATCATGAACAATTGCAACATATTATATACATGATGTTTGATCAGCAAAAGTGAATAGGAATGCACACAATAAGACGATCTGAAAATCTTTAGACTTACTGCACTCTGAACAGTCTACTAAATGTATTATAAACATAGTGCAATACAGTAAAATCAGACAAACCCAATGGGTTTCATTTAGATATACGAGTGCTGTCCCACGGAAAACCAGAAAAGGTCCATAAAAGCAACAATCTTTGTCCTATTATAATAAAAATGTAACACATTATACATCAGCATGTGCTTTATTTCTCAATGTAATCACCATCCCACTGGAGGCATTTTCCCATCACTGGATCAGGGAGAAGACACCCTCCCTGAAGAACTTTTCGTCAAGGGATTTCAACCAATCTTTCACGACTTCAACAAGGTCTTTGTCGTCGGTGAATCGCTGTCCAGAAATATGGCCTTTCATTGGTCCCAAAAGGTGATAGTACGACAGAATCAAGTTAAGACTGTGAGGGGGAAGTGGCAGAACTTCCCAGCCGAACCTTCGGATCCAGTCTTTCATAGCGTTTGTGGTGTGTGGCGTTGCGTTGTCATGCTGCAAAATGACCCCGCTGGACAACGGGCCTGGTCTTTTCCGGCACACAACCTCCCTCAACTTATCAAGAGTATGGCAGTATCTGTTGGCATTAACAGTTTGTCCTGGTTCCAGAATATCAAGAAGCAGAACACCCTTAGCATCCCAGAAAACCGTGAGTTTCTCCACAGATGGCTGAACTTAAAACTTTTTCGGGGGAGGTGAAGACGTGTCCTTCCAAACCATTGAATCCCTCTTCGTCTCAGGGGTCATGTGGTGTATCCAAGTCTCATCACCTGTAATAATGCTTCCCAGGAAGGCTTCATCGTATTGTTGGAGGTCTCCAGATGCGTTCATGACTCCCATGACAGCTGGGCAACAACGATTCAACAACAAAGTCTGAGACACCTCAACACGTTGCGTCTTGTGGCCAGCTGTCAGTTCTTTTGGGACCCATCGAGCAGAGACCTTTCAATAGTGCAGCTCATCAAACACTATCCTATGGACAGTCGACTTTGAAATGTTTAACGACTCGGAAATTTAGCGAATTTTTAGGCGCCCGTCCGTTTGAATGAGTTCGTTAACGCGACTCTTGTAGTCCTCAGTCTTGGCAGAAAAACAAGGTCGTGGGTGAACTTTGTCATTGACATCCGTATGCCCGGTTTTGAACTTACTACACCACTCATATACCTGTGACTTTGCCATTACTTTCTCCCCGTAAACTGACTTTATTTCAGTGTGTATTTCTATAGGTTTGAGACCTTTTGCGGTCAAAAACCGAATGACAGACCTCACTTCTACCATTGACCAATTTTCCAAGAAGGTAGCCATCTTTGGAGAACTGCTGGGTTCATTTGGTTTGTGCGATGCTCATGGTGCTCAATCGGGAAATGTCCTAAATGATTGTTTTACAAGTGTGCATTTACTGAATGTGAAAATATTGAATAGTTTTCAAATTACAGCCAAATTCCGGTTTTCTGTGGGACAGCCTTCATATATCTTTAAAGAAAATAAAATAGTCAATCAAGCAGGGAGGAGAAATAAAGAATGTTAAAACATTTTCAATCAAGAATATCACAATGTGATATCACTGCAAAGGTCTTTTTTTCTGTAGAAGCAAAAGAATGACAACCAATTAGGCACAAAACATTCCTGACAGAACAATTAAAATAACTTTTTAAAATATTCTTTAAAACAGAAGTTAGAAAAGTGAAGAAATCCACACAGAAAGGATTCTTTCCAGAGGTTTTGGTGCATTATAAAAGGAAAAAAGCCATAGTAACTTAAAACGTGATCTTGAATTAAGGGGCAATGTTGAATGTACCCTGTATATATAACAAAGAAGTAATAAGAATCATTTCCTACCCGCGCCTCGATGTATTCAACCTGCCTCTCCAGTTCAGTAAGCTTCTGATTGAGAACTGCCAAGCGGGACCGACAGGATGTATCTGAAATGGAAGAGCAAAGCACATCATGTCATAATTCAGTATGGGAATGCATGCTGCAAAAGATACAGAGGGAAACAAAAACTATAGATGTCAGTTGTACTAAAAACTTAGAATAAAAATGCTATACACCATTTTAAAAAATGATTCACTGCATGCCACAGACACCAACAACAGGCCACTGAAACTAATTGGATTTCCCTTCTTGAGCATTTTAAAACTTACTGCTCGCACCAAGAGATGCACTTTCGACTCAATATATAACAGGGCCCCCACCAAATCCTGGAAATTTTTTTCAAGACCCCAATTCGAGGGAAAAATAAGGTCACTGCGTGTCAAGAATGATCCCCCAAAAAGCCCATCAAAAAATGATAAAAAGTCAAAATGTCTTTTAAATCAATCCAAATGTACATTTTGTAGTATAGTCTTCAAACAACAGATGATTTTAATACTGGATGACTGCCAACCCAACTTCTCAATTTTCCAGGGGGGGGGGGGGGGGGCCTCATCTATTTTCCAAGGGCATATTACATAACAATGACAGCGCGTGCTCCATTTATATCTAATATGATATATATATATGTTTGTGAATACACACACACACACATGTACGAGAGGTACATATATCCAATCAATAACATGTCAGTGTGACACTGGGATCTTGTGTGACATAGGTATTTCAGTCTGTTCTTACTTATTTATAATATCTTCCCCTCATTATAATATTAGCCTACATAAACTATGTTTTAGTTTTAGTAGGGGTTTTACCGCCCTCGCAACTGCATCATAAACTATATAATAAATATAAAAAAAGAATCCTGTTTTGAGCCTGAGAAAAGACCTAGAACAAGAATGTCGACTGTCAATAACCAGTCTGGGTGTCATGATTCATATATAAGAAACGTGAAGAGGAAAACTATTGCTCAAACTCAAAGGTAGAGTAATATTAGTAATAACTTGAATGGCTCAAGTAGATCTATTCAGTGTGAGAGGTGTAAGAACTGAGGGAGGGCAAGATGCAGTGACACTGAAAATCTGCCAATCTTGAACAGAAAGCTTAAAAGTAAAGATATATTACTACTATCACCCCATCCAATGAAACGCGAACACTTTAGTTCAATAACAAGGCATGACAGATCCCGATTCCACACGTAATGCCTGCACCAATGCGTGCTTTGCAGAGAGCTCTTATAGTAGTTATCAAAATTCTAAATTTAGAAATACTAAAAATTAAAAATTTGCTTCCAAGTTCAGTTTTTGCCCTCTAGCGTTGCCTTCAGCACCCCCCCATCCCCTTCCCCGAGCTTATCTTTGAAAAACATTATGTTATGTTATCTATCAGACTATTACCGGAAAATTTCAGGGTGAAATTAGATCTTCATTCTTCCCAATCGAGCCTCAGTGTCACGACACTTTCGCCTGCCGCCATAGAGGGGTTCAGTTATATGTTCCTCTTCATGATTCATCAACCATACTGTCTAGATCAGATAACTACACTACTAATATTACGCAGTCCCTATCCTTTCAAGACTTTTTCTCGATTTTCCGACTTGGTGGGAACCCTGATATTATGTCTGTGAAAACGAATGAAATAAAAATGTATACTGGACCATGATTGATCAAAAGATCTCTATAGATCTGTGAAAGACTTTATTTTTCGATGGGAAAACTGGCACCATCATTAATTATTTGTCTGAGGATGTAATATCTATATTACATTACAGAAATTTGTAATAAATTTCTCTTTCTGTCTACAAAATCACTTCGAATAGGTTCATTGCACAAACTCCAGATTGCTAAAAAAAAAAATAAGAGGAAAAGAGATCTCAACTCCTCTTTCAGAGGAATTGCTGTGTGCTGGTGGTAATACTTAAATATTATAAAATCAAAAAATTGATCTGGCTCAAATAATTCAAAAACAATCTGTCACCAAAATTAATTTCCCAGCAAATCTACACTCCCACTTGAGAGGCTCTTATGGTCTAGAGGTTGCGGTGTTCGCCTTTCATTGAATCGGACCCCAGTTCAAAACCTGAAATTTTGTTCTGTCTTTATAATTTTCTCCTTTCCTGATCTCTAACCATGTTCTGTCATCTGCTTTCATCTCCATTTTCATAGGACGAACATCAAGAGCTTCCAACTTGGCATGTTTTGAATGAGATGTATGTCTAGGTTACGAACCAACACTGGCGGTTCTAGAAATAGGCCACAAACGCACACAAATTCAAGCAAACTGACGCACACACACTTGAGTTGTGAGAATACGGGACCCGGTCATCACACGGATGATGCTCGGGGCGCATGCACTGAGTCAGAGCTGGATCGACTCACGACTGGACGGAAGACGAGGTGCCAAAATACCTTTATACGGGAACATAAACCCGGCTCCCGCAGGACCAGGGTTAACCACTTAATTTTCCACTTGTCACAGAGTCACAGTGGTACCCAGCGCCATAAAGTAAAGTCCAATCACAGTAATTACATAATTAATATTTTACTAATTATAATTGTAAGGCGACAAAAAAGAAAATGAAACATGGAAAAGACGACATGCGCTAGTCTGGCATTCATCCAGAAGTCTCAGGTGTTCATCAGGGCGGAATATTTTTAAAATAAAGAAACTTGTAGGGAACGTAGATGGTAAGGATTTGGATTAGGCCAGGGCAAGATCGACTCTGGGATCGATTCTTTCAAGTCCAAATGAGGACTCAAAGAATCGATCTTATTCACAGACTCTAAGCTTCGAGTCCGCCCAGGGTCGATGCCTCCCGTCTCCTTTTTTTTAGCCTGGTTCCTAGCCTAGACTCCAAGAATCGAGGCAAGAATCTAAATTTCACCACACTATTACAGTCCTGTTGTGGGATAGGCCTAGGGGGGGGGGGGGGGGTAATTATGCATAGATAAACTTGATTGTATTAGTCTACTAAACCTTATCTGTTTTATAAAACCAAGGAAAGGAATTCTGAATGTTTAAAGATGTAAAAACACACATTTTAAAAAAAGTGATTTTAATCACTGAGTTTTATTTTTAAAATCAAGTTGATTTAAATTTTTTTAAATCAACTGATTTAAAACGACCTGATTTAAATCAACCCAAACTGATTTCAATTATGAAAAAAAAAAAATTGAATACTGTATTATTTTACAGTGACAGGGGGGAAAGCAGACTTTTAAGCATGATTATATATTAGTCTACTAAACCTCTGTTTAATAAAACCAAGGAAAGGAATTCTGGATGTTTAAACATGTAAAAACTGAATACATTTGTTAAAAAGTGATTTAAATACTGATTTTTATTTTAAAAATCAAGTTGATTAAAATTTAAAAAATAAACTGATTTAAATCAACCCAGCTCTGATTTCAATTATGGAGAAAAAAAGTAAATTGAATCCTGTATTAATTTACAGTGAAAGGGGGGAAAGCAGACTTTTAAGCATGATTATACTAGCGATCTAGTCTGCTAAACCTTATATATTCTGTTCTATGAAACCAAGGAAAAGAATTCTGAATGTTGAAACACGTTATAAACTTGAATAAACATAATCTTTTTTAAAGTGATTTAAATCACTGATTTTTATTTTTAAAATCAAGTTGATTTAAATTTAAAAAATCAACTGATTTAAATCGACCTGATTTAAATCAACCCAACCCTGAAAATTAGTAGTCCAGCAGCATACTACTATGTCAAACAGCTGGTGTTACCAGAGAGTTTTTAAAAAGTTCTTAAAAACCTACTTGACTGAAGTGGGAGTGTATCATCTTTCAAAATTCCCAAAACGCGATCAGCAAAAAAAAAAAAGAAAATTTCAGAGTCGACTCTACCTCATAAAAAAGGGACGACTTCCGTTTTTTGAGTTGCATCATGGACAACCGCGGCTTTCTCTGCACCGGCCTACCTTTGTTTGTTTGGGGTTTTTTCATGCGCCGTGTCGGGGTAAGGGATGAATAGAAAAAGGGTGACCTTATTTAGGCCACATATGGCCTAAATAAGCTAAACCCCCCCTCCCTTACCTTATTTAGGCCTCACCTGTGGCCTAAATAAGCTAAACCCCCCTCCCTTACCTTATTTAGGCCACACCTGTGGCCTAAATAAGCTAAACCCCCCTCCCTTACCTTATTTAGGCCACACCTTTATACAAAGTCACAGAAATATTCCTTTTGTGCTTATTGAGGTACAGTGCAGGGTGATTTTACCTGCAAGGATAATTGGACAAAATGGGCAACATCTTTATTGCTAATGGTCATATTTAGACAAATCCTATATCATTGTCTTTTTTTTTCTTAACTGCTCATGGTTATTAAAGAGTAAGCCAACTAGGTAGTAATTTCGGATTCCTAATACTAATATTATGGGCATTCTTAAAATTTTTAAACTTGTTTTTACCGCTTTTCTCAACGTAGAACGGATTCCGTAAAAAATCAAAACAACAATGACCTTATCTTTCTTTTTCAAAGTATTGTGCATATATATGTGTGAAACTATATATTCTATGCTTTCATGTACATGAAAAAAGCTAATAAAGGCAAGCAAAATGTTCCTCAGATACATAGATCTAGTAGTAGGCCCACTGGAATCTTTTTATAAACCGGGAAAGATGACCAGAAAATAACAAAATTATTTTATGATCTTCACTTGCACTTGCAATTTTTTGGACAAATTATAGTCTACCTCATTGTCTTTTTTTCCCCGCAATTTTCTTCACTATTCATGACAACTGGCATGTATTGTTTTCAGTTATTATTTAAAAAGTGGATAGGCGGACTACGGGGTCTATCTAGCCAAAAGGATAGGTGGACCCCGGGGTCTACCTAACAAAATGCTAGGTTTTAGGATGTGAACCCCGGAGTCAGCGTAGTGAAATAAGTAGTAGATCTAGGTTTAACTAAGGATCGGTGGACCCCGGGGTCAACATAGTGAAATAAGTAGATCTCAGTTTATTTTATAGTAGGACTGGTGGAGCCCGTGGTCAACGTAGCGAAATTATAAGTAGATCTAGGTTTAATTAAGGATTGGTGGACCCCGGGGTCAGCGTAGTGAAATCAGTAGATCTAGGTTTAATTAAGGATTGGTGGACCCTGGGGTCAATGTAGTGAAATAAGTACATGTAGATCTAGGTTTAATTTTAAGGATTGGTGGACCCTGGAGTCAACGTATTGAAATAAGTAGGTTTAAGGTGGACCCCAGGGTCTACCTAACGAAATACTAGTTAGGTTTTTAGAATAGGTGGAACCTGCGGTCACCGTAGTAAAATAAGTAGGTTTAATCAAGGTGTCCCGGGGGTCCACCAATCCTTAATTAAACCTTCTTATTCCTCTACGGTTATGGTGACTTCGGGGCCCACCAATCCTTTTAAAATTAACCTTACTTATTTCACTACGCTGACCCCGGGGTCCACCAATCTTTAAAGAAACCTACTTGTTTCACTACGGTGACCCCGGGGTTCACCTGTCCTAAAACCTAGTATTTCGCTAGGTAGACCACCTTAAACCTGCTTATTTATCACTACGTTGACCCCGGGGTCCACCAATCCTTACTTAAACCAAACCTTATTTCACTATGGTGACTCCGGGGTTCACATCCTAAAACCTAGTATTTCGCTCTGCAGACCCCAGAGTCCACCTATCCTCTACAGGACTAAACTATTATCAATTTGCAATTTTCATTGATTAACATATTTTTTTTTAAATATTGAATCAGAGACTCGCTGTCTAAAAAGTCCACTGCTAATGCTATTCTTTTCAAAGAAAATGACACAATTTGATTTTATGACATGTTGAAAAAAAGAGTTTTAAAAATATCCCGAAATCAACATAAAATTGATTATATAGATCTCTCTCTCTCTCTCTCTCTCTCTCTCTCTCTCTCTCTCTATATATATATATATGTGTGTGTGTGTGTGTGTGTGTGTGTGTGCTTGTGTGTGTGTATTTTATTATGCATACTAAAAGACTGAGCAGAGGCTTACAATGTAGATCTAAATTCTGTGCTCTACAAGTAGAGAAAATATTAAGTTTGCGCAAAACAGATTTTAGAAAAAAAAGTTGGATCTAATTATTCTAATACAAGTAAAAGTGATTGTTATGCTGAGATTTGTTATTATTGACTCTAGAAATACAGTTACTTGCTGAATCTAAAAGTAACTAGAACTGTGCAATTCGTTTTATTTCAATTCCAAAGCCCAAAGGCATAGCAATAATAAGTTAGATCTAGATCTAGCAGTTGTAGGCTCTCTGGCTGCTTCTAGCATAGGCCTGCTACTACTGATTCTAGACAGGGAATCTAGATCTTGCTATCGCCTGCACTATTAAAGTCAAATATATGGTAAAATAAAAACAAAACTGAATTTTTTTCAGTCAGTACATCCCAATTGCCATAGCCGCACGTATTAATAGTTGAATAATGCGATACCGCAGCAACACGTTATCACAGTGTGCAGGGGAGAGCGAGTTGCCCGGTCGATTCGGTGGTTCAGCTTTTGTAGATCTATGCATTTTTTACGGAAAGCCCTATTACCTAACCCTCTTACTAGATCTATTAGTGTTGTGAAAACTTCAACCTCTACAGCTCAGGCGTCAAAAGATGCTGGAAAATAATAATACGTCCTGAAGTTTCATAATTTATTTTTATACAGAATAACACAGTACACAGCCAGTAGTTTTTATTTCATCGAGTTATAAAAATGGCCTTCGTATAAAAATTGCCTTGTTTTCAGAAGCAAATTTTAATAGTTCTAGTTCTACCGAATCGATTTTCACGCGAATTCAACCATTTTGATGATCTTTCTTTTCCTTTTAAAAAGATGTAGATCTAGGCCTGTCGGATGTGGCAGTGCGAATAACACTGAGTTGTTTAGATCTAGACCCATCAAAACACGAGGCTCCGTGGCCGATCACAAAAGTCTAAGGGGCTTATCGAGTCCGATTCGCCCTGAGCACGTTCACTAAACTGCCTACTAGATAGAATCTACTACCAAATATTCTCTACACGATCTTTGCTACTACTACTACTAGGCCTACTAGTACTAGCCTACATGTACTACTACGAGACAGTACGAGAGAGTGTCACTCAGGCAAAGATAGTGTAACTTTGACTCAGCCACGTAGTATACACTCTTTTTATACCCCAAATTTAACCCGGAAGTCCATTCGGAGGATTTGACCTTTTCACTTGACCAAAGTGTGCCAAAATGGTAGCCTAGCTTTTGCCCCTCCATGAAGGAAAAATCTGGCCCTCATTCAAACCATTGGGATTGAGCAAAATTTTGCGTATTGTGCTTTGTTCTTTACAATATTCATTATGGTTATGATTTATAAGTTGTACACTGAGACAAAACCGTACTAAATGAGAAAGGTGCACCATTATAAAAGTGGAACGAACTCAGTTGCCTGAAAAGGGTAGTTTGAGCAAGTGTGGCCTAAATAAGCTAAACCCCCCTCCCTTACCTTATTTAGGCCACAGTCCACTGTGGCCTAAATAAGCACTCCCATAGAAAAATTATACAAATAAGGATTTCATTTCGCACGTGTTTTGAACAGAAGAAAAAACGGGAAAAAAATAACCTACCCCCCCCCAGGAAAGTCCTATTTCCTGAATATCCTTTCGAGTCCCTCAAGTGTCTAACTGGGTCAAAATGCTCATATTTCATTGGATGAACGTCTCAACCGACGCTCTGTTATCTCTACCAACGCCTCGCGTTGCAAAACAATGCAGTAAGTTTGAGATGGACACTCAGGCACAAGCAGATGGACGCACACACATTTTAGCACACAGATGCAGACCCCGTCGTAAACGAAATGCGTTGCCCGCGCGGGACGACGACTGATCAGGGACCAGCTGTGGAGCGCCGCGCGGGATTGCCTTTATCGGGCAAACATTTATCAGGGACCAGAATCTTAAGGGTTAATAAACACCTAATAAAGAAGAGACCTTCTAACCCTACTCCTACCCCAACCTTAACCCTCAACAAACACAATATAAAGAAAAAACCTAACTCTAGTTCCTACACCTACCCCAACCCCTTATCCTAACAATCCTCAACAAACAAAATAAAGGAAAAACCTACCCCTACCCTAACTCTATCCCAAACCTTAACCTAAAAAAAAACACTTGAAAAAAGAAGAGGCCTTTAACCCTACCCAACCCCCACCTCTAACCATCAAAAAACAACAAAGAAGAGACCTCTATCTACCATTACCCCTACCCCCACCCTAACCCCAAAGACTTACTAGATCCCTAACCCTAAACAAACACAATAAAGAGGAGACCTAACTAACCTTACTGTGCCTTACAGCAAACCCTCAACAAACACAAAAGAATAAAGACGAGACGTAACCCAATTCGAACCCAATTCGTAAATATCCCCATCCCAACCCAACCCCTAACCTTCAACAAACACAAGAAGAGACCTACCCCTATCCCAACCCTTACCCCTACCCCTAAACCAAACAATTCTCTATTCTCCTCACATCCTCTCTGTTCATATATTTGGTCACTCGTTGCGGAATTCCTCCTCCCTAATAATAACATATTTTGCTAAGATTCTAAAATTAATCACGGTGAGAATTGGTCAGAAACTGAAGAAAACCTGGCAAACCAGAGCTCCCAAACAGCGAAGTAGATAAAGTCTGTGGGCGAGGCGCGGGGTCAACAATGGCTGCATCTTGTAGGCTTGTTGACAGTCTACTTCCCCGACTCAGATTTCAGACCTTCAAAACTTTGAACGGGGCCTAAAAAGGAGCAAACTACTGTAAATTTGGCATGAGCAGATGGTATAACAGTGGCTTTCGGTCGTCCATTATGATGGGAAGCTATTGATTGAGTATTCATCTAGATAGTGGTCGCTCGTTACGGAAGTCCTCCCGCAAAACAATAAAAGAAGAGCAGACCAAACATTGTATGTACAGCTCTAGGACTCTAGGATCAAAAGAAAAGTAGATTCTAGCCTCTAGGCCTAGAAATCTAGATCTAGATCCGGCTTCATTCAGGGTTGGGTCCACCAAAGTTCAATCTTACCTAGATCTAGATCTAGATTCTAGATTACAAATCTTCATTATTGTGAAGTGATTTGTTGTCAAAAAAGTTGAGCACGACCTCTCGTCACCAGACTGACAGTGACTGTGACAGTGTGTAGTGTGGGCAAACGAAACCCAATCCGGAAACAACAGAAAAATAACCAAAAACTAAAGAGGACCCTTACCAAAAGAATTTAAGAAGTCCGTTATCTTTTTAATGCTTCCAGTTATCACTTCAATATATTCACGATTGGCCCAGTCTTGTTGCAAGGGCCTTTGATGGACTGGAGGTGGCTGCTGATGAGACGCCATGTTGTTTGTATGCAATGAGAGTGAAAATAATACTTCCTGCTTCTGTGAGCTGAATATAATCAAACTCAATCTGATATCTTTGTGTACCTTTTTACTTTTACAAACATTATATCAGTGTAAAATGTGCCTTGAGCAGTGGAAAATAATCTATTAGGAAAATAGTAGATAGATCTAAGAAATTTTTAGCTCATAGTTCTTCTTTTAGTTTCAATCTATGCTCCCCGTCTCTGCTCCAATTTACTAAAAACATTAACTTCCTCTTCCGCCGGTTTGCTTGAAATCCATCAAGCTTCAAACGTTTTTCATTTTTCATTGCAGCGTTTCTTACTTCTTCTAACACACAGTATGGCTTCAGCTTTAGAAATGTTTGTCAACAGTATCCTTCCCATCATTATTACTCTTTTTATGTTCTGTATTTACTATATGCCAAGTCATTGATCTAGATCTAGATCTAGATATAGATCTAGATCTAGATATCTAGATTCTAGATCTATAATCTATAGATCTATATCTAGATCTAGAGGCCACCTCTATTCTCACCCGGGATGAGAATAGTGCAGGCTAGTCTTTTGGCTATTCTCACCCGGTGCGCGTTCACTGTTATAGCCTAGATCTAGGCCAACAAATTTTGCGTTCACCCTAAACCACAGAATTCTACACTGTGATAACAGAAAAATTGTAGAATTCTGGGCGCTTTTTCGGTAGTTCCCACCCCCCTTATTTGATAGAGCCTGACCTACATCTAGCTAGATCTAGATTCTAGATCTAGATCTATACGTTTGATTCGCGGCAAGCTAAGATGTCAAACCTAACAATTGCAAAACATTAAATTCGGGTAAAATTCAGGGGGGCATGCCCCCCTGAAACCCCCCACCTTGTTTTTGTTAGGCTTGCCCCCCTGAAACCCCCCTATTCTTGGGGCCAAAACCGGCGAATAACAAATGCGGGGTGGGAACTACCGAAAAAGCGCCGAATTCTGTGCCGTGAACAAACGTTCCATTACAACTGTAGCCTACTAAAAGCGTACAATTTTGTATGTGGGCAGTGGAGAGAGAGAAAGAGACAGAGAGAGGAGTAGCGTGAGAACTTCCGGTCAAAACAAAATGGCGACCCGCGTAGTTCTGCTCGATTCGAAAAGTTAGATAGCCGTAGCATCTTTGTAGACAACCAAATTAATTTACTTTTGTGTTTTAACATCATTTTTTAACTTTGTTTTGGTCAATTTGATCGTCCACACCGATAGACAGTATTCAGAAAGAGACAGAGAGAGAGGGGAGGAGTAGATCTTGCGAGAACTTCCGGGCAAAACAAAATGGCGACCCGCGTAGTTCGGCTTGATTCGAACAGTGAAATAGCCATAGCATCTTTGAAGACGATCAAATTAGCTTACTTTTGTGCTATAACGTAATTTTTTCTTGGCTTTTATCAATTTGATCATCCACACCGATAGACAGTATTCCAAAATGAGGAAAAGCAGCTCTTGTTTCGCACCGGGTGAGAATAGCCTACGCTGGCAAGTCTCACCCGGGGTGAGAGGTAGATCGTTTTTCTATTCTCACCCCGGATGAGAATAGTATAGCCACTTCCATATCTAGATGGCCACCTCTAATCTATCGTTCACCGTGCCTAGAAGATTCTAGATCTAGATCTAGATCTAGATCTAGAATATATAGATCTAACGAAGTGATTATTCGGACTTGAGTCCGAATATGAAAAAATGTTATTCGGACTCTGATTCTTGTCCAGCATGACATCACTTCCGACTTCCTGTGACTCGTGAATCCGGCTTCCTGTCCTGCCTCACTCGTACTCGCCTCAGGCTGGGTAGAGACCGGGATCACTTCGGGCAAAAAGGCGTTTTGTGCAGGAGCCGAGTTTTAATCTTATGATGAATTTGAGGCCGGCCTGAAAAGTTATAGCGCTTCTAATAAATGTTTATTTATCACGAGGTCATCAGAAGCAATTAAAGATGGCTCGTTAGCATGTGTCGGGGTCGGATGGGCGGCCTGCACACGTGTGGCTGTTTGCGTGTCGGGGAGGGTGGTGGGGGGCACTATCGGTCCGGGCTTTGAACGTCGCATAAGCGTCGGTCTTTTTCCCCCTGGCAACTTATCATTATTACAATAATAAGCTAGTCTTGACGTAGGTCTACGTAATGAATACGTATGAATTGTGCGCTGGTCTATGGAATCAAAAGTTGCCGTATGCTCAGCTCTACACAGCAACACAACTTTTTCTTGGTAAACAATCGATATGACACAGGCTTGTGTATTTGAACGAATCGGTCTTCTTTTTTTTTTTACACAGCTCATAATATGCCAGGTGGTCTGCTAATCTTCAATTTTACCTTTTTCTACAACAATGAAAGTGGGAAACGTGGGGGGGGGGGGGGGGAGAGGCGTATCAATGAGGCGGCGGGCATTGGATCGGCAGATAAGGTGTGGGGAAAACTAAAGAATGGCGGAAAATTGGAAGCACTGAACGTTAGATCTATAGAACGAAGACACTTCCTTTTTTCCGGACCCGAGTCCGAATAGGTGTGGGGAAAACTAAAGATCGACGGAAAATTGGAATCACTTAACGTTAGATTCAAGAACGAAGACACTTCCTTTTATTCGGACTCGAGTCCGAATAACGACGGCCTAGATCTTATCTAGGCCAACCAATTTTGCGTTCACCCTTAACCACAGAATTCTACACTGTGATAACAGAAGAATTGTAGAATTCTGTGCCGTGAACAAACGTTACATTACTATTGTTACTAAAAGCGTACTATATTTTGTCTGTGGGCAGTGGAGAGAAAGAGAGAGAGTAGTAGCGCGAGAACTTCCTGGCAAAACAAAATGGAGACCCGCGTAGTTCGGCTCGATTTGAAAAGTTAAATAGCCGTAGCATCCTTGTAGACAACCAAATCAATTTACTTTTGTGTTTTAACATCATTTTTTAACTTTGTTTAGGTCAATTTGATCGTCCACACCGATAGACAGTGTATTCAGAAAGAGAGAAGAGGGGAGGGAGTAGATCTTGCGAGAACTTCCGGGCAAAACAAAATGGCGACCCCAGTTGTTCGGTTCGATTCTAAAAGTGAAATAGCCATAGCATCTTTGTAGTCGATAAAATTAGCTTACTTTTGTGCTACAACGTAGTCGTAAGGCCACCTCTATTCTCACCCCGGGTGAGAATAGTGCAGGCGAGTCTTTTGGCTATTCTCACCCGGTGCGCGTTCACCGTTATAGCCTAGATTCTAGATCTAGGCCAACCAATTTTGCGTTCACCCTTAACCACAGAAATATAATTCCAAATAGACTTTCAACATTGTGTATAAAGGAAAATGTTGAGTACACATTAGTAATTATTCAAGTTTAAAATGCATGCATGTCAGTGAGGCATCTTTTGTTTTTTGTCTCAACTACAAATATCTTAGATATAGGATGGTTAAGCTGTACTACAGGTGTGGTGCTGCTTCTTATAAATTTGTGATATTCACGTGAAATTTTGGATTTAAGTTTAGATGTAGGTTTTTTGTTTACTCATTTCATTGACTTCTATTAGTGATTCAAAAGTCAGTCTTGTCTGCTTCTCTTTGTTATATATTGTTAAAGGGAGAACAACTATCCCTTAAAAAAGCCTTTTAAATGATGTATATATTCCTAATTTTATGCATAGCTTCTCTTTTTTCTTAACAAAGTGTTTAGAACTAGTGGAAATTGTTACGGCTGATGGAAGAGTTATTGTGGTGAGTATACATCGAATGGATTTATTACTTACTTAATGGGAGGAGCGACCCTCGATTTTGCAGATTTTGGGTCAGGCTATACGAATTTTATGTTGGCTGATTTTCTAAGGTCAACCAGGATTTTGTCTAAAAAGAGCATGGAAACAATTAAGAAAGTCTTTATTCTCCTGGTAAATTGCCTTTGGAAACATGAGGATAGCTTGATATAGTGAGTGACTTTTCATTATTATATTATTATGGTCGTTTTCTAACAAAAACTTTTTTTTTTTTTTTTGCAGTTTTTTCCCTCCTCCTTCCTTAGTTTTCTTCCTTTTGACATGAAACTTTCAGGAAACATAGATGACAAGGCTGCCATGAATGTAACAGAGAGATATTTGCGAAAAAAATAATACTTTCCCATTGACAAGTGATTACGCTAAATTTAGAAAAAGTTTTTTTATACTTCGGGAATATTCTTTTTTTTTTTTTTCTTTTGCACTTATTAAAAAAAGCGTGTTGTTACGCTGATAGGGTCTGGTTCAGGTATACTCTCACCAAATTTGGTCAGTAAATAAGAAAGCTTTCTATTAGAAATTTGAAATTCATTGTTTATTTTCAAGATGGCGGCTGTTTCCATAGCAACCGCTGTAGCTATGCCCCAAAAAAATTGCTTTTCAAGAGATTTTACTTATGTCTAACTTATATGTGTACTTAGGTTTGATCTTGGGCAACAAACATAGAAAATGGTCCTCAAGGGTAGCTCCTCCCGTTAAGACAACTTTATGTGAAAATAGTAAAAGGGTTGGGCTATGACAGTAATTTTTGTGATCAGCTTTTACTGTGAAAGAGCAATGGAGTAATGGAGATATTGCTTAGTGAACCTTTTTTTCCCTCCTTTCTTGTAATAATAGTGTTCTCTGTCAAGGTCTGAAGCTGGGCTTTTATTTAATATTGAAAATGCTTCATGATTTTTTCTTTTTTTTTTAGTAGACTTGCCACCTTGGCTCAGTGTTGCAAATATTCATGCTACATCTACATCCAATATTCATATTGAGCTTTTTTTTCATACCCTCTGGTACAATTATATATCATATTATTCTTGTGACCAGGATGATTGAGGAAAAAGGAGTTATTGCTCTGTACTTTATTTGCACCGTAAAAATCCTAAATATTAAAATATCCCTCTGAAAATTGTAATTTTTGTTCTCTTTGTTCTTTTACTAGGGGACATATGATTGTGAAAAGGCTTGCCATTTAGTTAAGTTTTATAGAATGAAAGAATGTAAAGTTTTTTCGTGTAAGTTGTTTTGTTTAAATGGGACAGGATGGATGTTTAAAGTTAATGTGTGAGAAAATAAGGGAAATGATGAAGAGGAATGTTTATATTATAGGAGAGAAAAGATGCCTTGCGCACATAGCTTCTTGGCATACAATAAAGGTCCTACTTACTCTCTCAATCTCTTTTTTTTTTTTTTCCTTCTGTCTGTTCTGGTGCACAGGGAACACTGAAAGGCTTTGACCAGACCATCAACCTGATCCTGGACGAGAGTCATGAGCGGGTCTATAGCAGTGGTCAAGGCGTGGAGCAGGTCATCCTGGGACTGTATATCGTCAGAGGAGACAATGTGTCAGTCTTTATACTTTTTTTAAATTATCCATTTTCTGTATACAGTCAAACCTGTGTAAAACAGCCACCCATTTGTCAAGGAAAAAAGTGGCTGTATAACACAGGTGGGTCTTAGGCAGGACTGATGAAAGTGAAGAGAGCAAATCATTCTCTTCTGAGGTCCAAACCGGGGCGGATCTCAGGCTTCAAACTGCCTTAAGGCTTTTGAAAAATGGGGGTGGGTGGTGTAAGAAGGGTTTTTTAGTGTTGTTGTTTGGTTGGCTTTCTTTTTGTAGCTGATTTTGTACAAGGGTAAAATAAACGAATATTATGAAAGTAAGACATGAAGATCGAGCGCCATGGTAAAACAAACACACGAGTCACAACCAGTCGGAGAATGAGCGATGCTTCTGTCGCAAGTTCATGTCAACGTCCATTGTTTCTTTGTACAGGGTGGCCAGGGAAGTCGGAAATTTTTGTTTAGGTTGGATAAGTCGGATTTTTGTCGGAAAAATTTTGTTCCGACGGGAATGGTTGGATAAACATCGGCAATAAAAGGAAATTTGAGGGAGTCTGTAAGTTGATTCAGGTAAGGCCCGGGGAAATACATAAGAGTTCTCGAATATTTGAAAGCCAAATCCGATGACGTCCCTAAGTTAATTTTGTCGGTCGCGATCATTCTGCTTTTCCCGGCCTGATGGCACACACAAGTTGGCATGAACAGAAACTACAGGGTATCTGGGAAGTCGGCACTGTGTTCACTTTGTGGTCTAATGGTTAGGCTCTCAACCGTAAAGTCATGGGTTTGATTCCTGTCAGGGGCCATGAATTTTCCTCACTCACCCAGGTGGGAATGGGTACCTGGCTATAAGAAAGAGAAAGGTCTTATCAGTTTGTTAGTGTTTTAACATGTGTAACCTGCAGCTTGCACTATATGCCTCCCGAGAAGCGAACAGTGTATCAGAGTCATGTTCTAGGGTCTTCTGGAGTAATAATTGAGAGTGTAAGCCAGTAAGTAGTTGGGCAAAGATATACAAAATATAAATGCAATGATTATTATTATGGTGCTGTACTAGAAAGGAGGCCAACAGGCACAGTACTGGGTTGAGAATTATATTTGAAATAATTGCTTGTTGCTACAATCAATGTTTTGACTTCTAATAGGACAATGGAAGCAGGAGCAAAAGTGTTCCATTTGATATACCTTAATGTTTTACATGGAATGCTGTCTTACCAAGTCTATACTTTGTTAAGATGCAGTTGACCTCAATCCAAGGTAATATGGTATAAAATCTAGGAGATGGGTGACTGCTTGTGTTTCCTTGAACAACTGCAGTTACAGTACCTTATGTAAGGTCAATGGTTTTCCTTGAGATACAGCAACCTTCTTTCAGACAAACAGACTTGGCAAGTTTAACAGTTTAAAGTATTCCATGCTGGGCTGTATTATCTCTGGTTGTGGCTTAGGTATTATTCAGTCAAGTTTTTACCCTATTTAGTTAAGTGATTCATCTGTTTACTGATCAGCATTTGGGTTTATTGATTCTTTTGGCTCAGTTGCCTTTTTGCTGCCTGGGTTTTCATGTTAGAGTATTTTTCTCTACTCCTTGCAGTTGAGCGCAGAAATTGATTTTCTTACTATCCAGCACCCCTTCCTTCTCAGACTTGCTTTTCTTTGACTTTCAACTGTTAAGATTACTTAAGTGTGAGCCCAAGTGCATTTATTACCCCTTTCAGAGTAGACTGGTTGTTATCAACAGAGCCTTTTCTGATCCTTATTCCCAGCCCTAATGTCTCTTGCTTATTATTTCAGTGCTGTCATTGGCGAGGTAGATGATGACACGGACAATGGGCTGGACTTTGAGAACATTCGTGCGGAACCTCTCAATGCCATCGTCCACTGACAAGAATTAGGCTGTGCAGGAACATTCAGAAAACCGGTGTACAGGTCTAATGCTGCCAATATTTCTCTGGGGGAAAAAATTATATTTTTAGGACTGGGACTCAATGGGAGGAACAGAGAGGTGTTCTTTCTGGAAATCTCCTGTTTGACATGAGGCAGTCCACGATGGAGACCAGGTTGGTCTTCAGGTTGTTGTTGAGGTATCTGTTGACCGGCTGGACATTTGGCAGTTATGACAGCGGCTTGCACTCGTGTGACCCACCGTACACTCGCAGTTCACAGTAGAGACACGGTATGGAGGCAGAACACTCAGCTTTTGTCTCAACGCTACAGTTTTACTTATGTGCTTAAATGTCTGAGAATGCATGTATGTGTGAGTGAAGTGGTTTCATTTTCCTCTTTTATAGAATATTCATGTGTGTATGTATGAAATAGGTTCATTTCCCTGTTGTAGGAGAATGAATACTAGCATCAGTTGTAGTTGTATATTCATGTGTGTGTTTGGAAAGAATCTTCATTTACCTGTTTTAGAAGAATATCAGCATCAGTTGTATTATATTCATGTGTGTGTGGGAAGAATGCTCATTTTCCCAGTTTCGAAGACTACCTGCATCAGTAGTATTCATTGTATGCACCCCCTTAACTGTGAGGTCTGCTGCCTAGTTTTATGGTTGACGATGATCTCAAGTCAAGGCAGGGAAGGGGTTGTAATTCAGCATTGAGGGATGCTTGTGGACATATCCAAAGCTGTGGTTTTAAAAAGCTAAGTCCCTGTGAGAGTGCATGCTACCATTTACATAGCCATTCACTTAGGAGTGGAGGCAGGTTCAGCAGGGGTACCCTGGGGTGTAGGTATTGTGCGTTTTTGTATTCTTTACGCCTTTATGACTCTCTCAGTCAGTGCAACATTGTATGCATGTTGTGGTTTGAGTGTTCACTTGATAGTTTTTACTGTGCAATTTTTTTTAAATCTCAAGAGAATGTATGCCAGCCTTATTTTGTTTGTGGACTAGTGTGAATGTGAGTGAATGTGAGGGATACAAGATATAAAAGTGGCCTCATGTGTTTTAAAGCATTCTTGTAAATTACACCCCATTTTCACATTGATAACTTCTCCTTGACTTATGCACATCTTAAAAGGTAGGGGGGTTGAAGTATTTTATTTGTGTTGAAAGCAAAATCACTTCTCCGACAACCATTGTGTGCTAGGAACGTGGTTTTTTAAAAAATGGAAGTTGCATGTAGTGATGGGAACTGACAAAGAGGGGATGAGAACAACTGTGGAACAATTTTTTACTCACTTGATGAGTTTACGAGTTCAAATCCAAACAATATCTTTGTATCTTAGTTTCCAACAGATATTTTTCTTTTCAGCCCAGTGTCTTGTAATGAGACCTGGTTTTTGTTTTCAAAGTGTGTCATACTGATTTAGAATAGCTGGATTGTTGCTTTCAAAAAGAAATAATAAGAGGTGCGGAATTTTGAAAGTTGAGGGATCGGGGGAGGGGGGGGAGTTCGTTCTCAACTGCTGGGGTTGTCTGATTCACCTCTGTGTCTCGTCTGCTGATGCTGTTGTGACTTTGTCACAGATTTGGAAGGTTGATTTCCTCCATAAGCAACTGTTTTCACTTAACAAGTTTGTACCAAGCAGCACTGTATCATCAGAATTCTTGATTTCTGCTTTCACTGTATGCTGATTAATTGTAGTGCAAATAGCCTACATTACCTAAATAGTAATAGCTTTGCAATGGGGAAATGTTTGTACTTACTCCTTTCACTCATTATTAGTGCGTATAAATGGCACTGGATTTTTGGTATGTTCTATGAAGTGAGACATCATTTTCCCAAAGGCAATGTACTGAAAAACAGTTTGAAGCTGGTTTTCAGTGTGTAAGCTTGTAAATATAGCCATAGTTTAAGGTGGATGAAAGTCTACCCTTACTGTGACTTATTGTCACATGTAAGGCGGGGTTTCATTCAAAGATTCAAACCCATGTATAGGCCGTTGAACCAACTCATGAGGTTCAAGAAAACAACCTGTGCTTTTGTGGCTGCAGTGTCACTGACTGGGAGGAATGGGTTTTGGTAGACCTACCTTAGGCACAGTTCTCACTCTCTTTCTGCAGACGCTGTTTGATCTCAGTTATTTGCCTAACTTTGACTTTGACTACTATCCTTTATTTCCTTTGCATTAGTTCACTTTGACACTATTTCAATAAATTTTATTCATGGCGACAGTTTAGTTGTTTTAGAAACATTTTGATAGTATTTTAGCTGTAGGCCTACTTGTATATTGAAACAAAGCTGCTTTGAAAGATCTCAAGTGCCAGCAGATGAACTATGAACAGTGAAACTCAAAAGAAGTTAACATTAATATCAGGCCTAGTTTGTTGGTATTTTTTTCCCATGGAGCGCAGCTTGTCCATTAATGTTGCAATCTTCATAGTAAAATCAAGTTGGTGCCTCTATCTGATACAGCCATTCATCTAGAATTGTTTGGAGAGTTTGATTATGTTTTACTTGTTTTTATGCAAAAGTTTTATGTGTAAATTTGTTTCATTTTATTACTGGCTGTGTTCATTAATAAAATAAAACTTGGACCTAATTCACAAACAGATGCTGGCTTTGTTTCAGGTGTTTATGAGCTTTACATAGACTATAGACACATTTCTATTACCATTTGGATGATAGTGCATGTATTTGGTTTGCTACTGGGGTGACTTTAAAAAATCTGCCCTTAGTAGAACCATCATGTTTTATATACATAATAATTAATATATATGTCACGACCTGGGGGAATCAGGCGCACATCAATTTTTGGGCATGTGGAGTTATTTGTATCATCTTCAGGGGGCTCGCGGGTTGAGTCTAGGGCCTTGGGGACTGATTTTTACTCATTCTGACTACTGAGCTCTTTTTACTTTTGGTATTTTCGGATCCCTCATTCAGTCCAGCTAGATTTTGTTGGCACTGGTCGCAAAGTGAGTAACAATAACATTAATAGAATTCAATTTTACTGGGTTCTTTGTTGTGTACTAACATTTTCTGTTTAACCTTGTTTTTCTCAAAACACACTTTTTTACCACTTTTTACTTTCATACACCGTTTTTTTTTTTCCTCCACCATTTTTTAAAATTTTCACACAGACTTGAAATTTGGCATGTAGTTAGAGAAAAGGTTTGTACTTGTAGTGGGCTGGTTAGTTTTTTGCGTTTTGCATAAGATTTTTTTTTTTTTTTTTCAATTTTTTTAATGCCTAAAATATTATTTTAAAGATCATATTCAATATCCCCTACTTTGAGAACAATTTTGGATTATTTTTATACTAGACTCTAGGAGTGTTCATACTGGTCGACAAACAGCTGTCGCAGTTCCTGCACACGTATTTAACACATGGTTTCAGCTCTGAAATAGGATCTCATTTTTGTTCCTGCCTTGAAAATGTTTGGACTTATTTTATTCAATCATAAGCTCTTAAAAGCTTGTCATGGTCATTCTAAAATTAAAATACAGGGTGATCCAAAAAAAACTTTACAACTTTTTTTCTGAATAACGCGCACAAAAATTGTTCTAGAATGCTGTAATTTGAAACAGACATAATTCATTCAAAAGGAATTTGTTTGATATAAAATCCACGAAGAAGGAACATGTTTTGAAAACGGAAACGCTAAAAGAAAAAAAAAGCACCAAAAAAACCCAAAGTTAACCAATGTTTAAAAATCTTGTAAAGGAAGTCGGGAAAAGATTAGTTGACCTTTTTCTTTGTTTTCTCTTTGACATTAATTTTCCATCCCTGTGACTTTTAAACAATATTTAATTTCTTTTACAGAGTTTTAAAAACCTAATGATTTCATTCTGAAATTCCTGGAAGCATTGCTCCACATTCCCTCCATTGGACTCATTTTTAACGCGTCTTTCGAAATGTTCAATGGCGTCCTAACACAAGGACCTGCTAAACCATGAGTTTTTAATGCCACATACACTGTATAATGTTCACTAAAAGTGGCTTCTTTAGACAATAGAGTGGGGTGCCCAATAGACAGCATTTTTGGAGTTAACATATCCCGCAGGTGAAAATGGGTTTTACACTAAACCAAATGTCATCAAGGAAATGATCCCTCTTTACAAGGCAATCGAGGAATCATGAACACATTGCCAAGCTCTAATCCATGTCATCTCGGCCTAGCGAAGATGAACATAGTATGGTCGTAGGTTAAGATCTGCCATGAGAATGCAGACTGTTGATGTGTAGGAAAGTCCTAGCTGCAGATTGTCTACGGACAGACGTCTCATGGGATTCGGTACTGAAATTTGCACTCTGGTGACGTTTAAAGGGCTGCGCATGGTGCGTGTTCGACCTGAAGTGATCATTTCTTAAAGAACTTTTTAGTTCTGATTCGCTATAGATCCAAACTGACGTGAAACTTCTCTACTCATGACGCCAAAGGTCTTGAGGGCACTTAAGCATTCTCTCCATGCCGTGCGCAGAACTTACGAAATGTCGGGGATGGTGAGTTTGTGGAGAGGTAATGTTCAATACAAAAAGCTCTCTGCTCTTTATTAAATGTAGCCATGATCTCAGCAGGCAAACACAATTTGGGAAAAATAATATCTGCAGACTTCTGTTGACTTGTTAGACTGCTGTAGTTTGTAATATGGCGCGATTGTTGCAACTTTTAGTGGTAGGCCTAATGCGAACTGGTGCGTCAAGCTATGAAAATGGCGACATGGTTGAAAATGGGTTGTTTTTTAATGCGCTGTATAGGGCAAAACCATTCTATGGACATATCTAAAATACATATCAGACAAATTCCTTTTGGCTTCCAAATGTTATGTTCAAACCTGAAACGCAAAACTTCAGTATGGAGGAAGATATTTACAAAACAAGTTTTAAAGTTTTTTCTGGATCACCCTGTAGTTGAACTTTTTGTCGTCTTGACCGAGGTTTTCAAACAATAATATTATGAAGGCCCTAGCTATTCTGTCCCCGTGGTTTTATGCACCCCGCATAGTTTAGCAAAATTTGATCATTTTTTGCATAATTTCTGATTATTTTCCTTTGTTAAAATTAACAGAATCGCATAATTTCACATTTTTGGACTCAATTTGCATAATTTCAGAATTTTTCTTGCATAAAACGACGGGGACAGGCTATTGGTCTTTGCACATTCAAGGGATGGACCCGTTGAGTTCTCTGGCATCATTTTTTTTTTCTTCTTAGATACAAGTAATATAAGCACGCCAGTTGCAAACACCTGACCATCTTGATAGACCAGAGCCAAATGAAACCTAGTGATGATTTGCCGTCCATACGGTTAAAACATAAGTCGCCATGTGTGAACACAGACACCGTGTCAGCCATGGTCCGCTGTCCACAGCGAACGGCGTTTGGTCGATTTGTATGAAAGAGGTCTAACTGTACTGAAAATGCTTCAAAGCACTAAACTCATTTTCAACTCATATTATTATTACGGTACAGTTTAAGTGTCTTCCCAAAGGGGGGGATATTAACATGTTCTTATGCACAGTAGAATTGTAAATGGGCTGATTTATCAGTCACGCTCATACACACTCATACTGTGCCGGAACAAAGTATGGGGAACTTCTGCTTTTTCTTTCCTCATCCTTACTACTATCGTCATTTTTTCCTTTACTTCTTTTGTATGTTTGTCACTCTCTTGTGAACAGTTATTTCCGGCGTGCCTTTATAGTTGAAGCAGACTTTGTGCTTTTGAGACTAGAGATGTAAGCAAAGTAAGCCTGATTCTCTGTAAAGACTTCTCTGTTGAAATCAACCCCTTGGCGCTCATATGACCTTATGCAGTTGCGAGCGCAGTAAAACCTTACTAAAACGAAAACGAAAACAGTTTAAGTGTCTGAACTGTAATCATTGCATTACAAAATACAAATTGTGGGGTTTTTTTAATGACGAAAAAAGATTTGATAAAACTCATTTACAGCATTCTTTTCCTTAAACCATGGTTCCACTTTCAGGAAGCACAGATTAAAGATCAGACAGGTTATATATATATATATATATATATATATATATATATCATTATATATTTCAGCTTTTGTTTGTTTTAGTAGAGGTTTTAAGGCGCTTGCAACTGCATAAGGTCATATGAGCACCATCTCAGCTTTGGTTCTACATGCTGGACAAGGGAAACCGAGATATGTGTCACTACATGGTGGAATCAGGCGCTCGTTAATTTTTAGACATATCTATTTGACTGTAAAGGAGGTGGGGATCGTCTAATGCCAGAGGTAAAATTAGCGAGAAAATGGTCGCCAAAGCTTGGTGAATTCCAAGGCTTGAGAGTATTAGAAAACTGAAAATTTACATTTTTTGGTGCCTTTGATCAACGGTTTTCAGGAAAATTCACGCAGAAATGGGTTTTTAAAAGGACATTAAAAGGTGTTGAGCCACCAGGAAAATTCAAGCAGAAATGTGTTTTTAAATGGGCATAAAAGGTGATGAGCACTGACAAGGAAATTTTTTTTTTAATTGTCCAACAATCAGAAGAATGCCCGTTTCCCTGATTTCATTATTTTGACAAGTGCCTGATCTCACCACAATGCCTCACATACGATTTTGGTCTTGTCCTGAGCTAAAAGATCTAACAGTAGTCGGTCCAAAAAGTGACTAAAGGTCTTCACAGACAACACAACAAATCTGAAAGTTCACAAAGAAAGGCAGAAACCAAGGGCTTGAGTGCATGTGACATTATATATGTTTTATTGATCTCTCTCTTTCTCTATCTCTCACACTCACAGTCTTTATCAATCTCTCGTGTGTGTGTTTTGGTCACGCGTTCAGACTCGTTCCTATGGAGCAGAGGATGAGGCTCAATGGTGATATGTACATGCGGAGTGGATGGAAACTGGTGAGAGAAATCGTTTCCATGGTCATGGCATCCGAATGAGGCATTGTTTTGTGCTGTGGACATGACACAAACACATGCATGCACAGACACACACACACATACACACACATATTTTATGCCTCACACAGCACTGCTGCGGCTGCATCAAAACGCGCGTAAACTGACAGATGGGTGAAGAATGATGGACCACTGGGGATATCATAAGGGTCTTATTAACCAGACTGAACAAATATTTGAGTCGTAACACTTAAAAGAGTGAACCCTCTCATGATGTACTGCTGAGGCTGGTCTGCAACATGCACCGTTAGATCTACAGCTCATCGTAGCCAGCTGTAAACCTGTTCACATTAAAAGTTTAAAATGAGGCAAATCTTTCTGAGTTGTCACCACTAACTACCAGTGCGTTGAATATGTCGTATTATATATGTTTGGCATTCATCTATCCTGCTGCTGATAAATATAGGTGCTACTCACATGCGTTTGAATCCATGAGTGACGCAGTGACATTTTCAAACATCACAGAAAAGCCTACCAGCTACATAACAAACGCCACTGGAAAGTGGCCCCTAGCAGTGCCTTTTATGAAAAGGAAGAAATTGCTTACACAAATCTCTAGACAAGTGTTCACACATAAAACTTGGCAGCACATGAACTACTTCTATGTGATAAGACTAACACTGGCAAAGTGGCTTAAGGGACAGTGTCGGGCTGACAAAAGTTTTGAACACTG